AACATTGGAGACGACAAGGACGATGGTGATGACAGCAAATACGATGCTGTAGACAGCGATGATGAAGATTTATCATTTTTTATCAGTTGCATGTGCAGATCGAGAAGTTCGTTATGTCTCACTGACAGCTGCAATAATGACAATTTATCTATTATTATGAATCATGAAATATTCTGAAGCACGTGAAAATAATCAAAAGTTACAGAATAATTTTCTTTAAATGAAACAAGCAATTTTTCAGAAGTCTCACAAACCTCCCTCAACGCTGTCCTCATCTTCCTCAAGTGCTGATCCTTAATCAACAGTTCTGATTTTAATTTGAGGACTTCTGAAGAGGTTGTTTCATTTTTCTCACTAGCAGATTTTGAACCACTGCTACTTTCATTTGCATGAAGAGAGTTGTCATTCGTAGACATTTTATTTCGTTGAGGTGTGGATACAGCAGTGTCTTGCTGGCTGTCTGAATAAAAAAGTTGTTTTCTTGAAAGTGAGTTGGGTCTGACAGGTTTGTTGGGTGTTACCGAATTTGGAGTTACTGCTATTTGTTCGCGCTGCTCATATAATTTGCTCACTGGCTTTTCACTGGTAGAACATTTCTTCTGCACCGTGTTTACAGTAGTATCGCATGGAATATTTTGCTGAACTTGTCTTTTCTGATGTTCCTGTGACTTTTGAGTGATTCTGGGCAATGAGTTGTACATGTAATCGAAATCGTATCCATGCTTCAGCTTTTCAATCTCTTCCTGGTACTGATTCTCTTTATTCTGTTAAATATTCACAATATGCCTCAAATTAATAAACAGATAGTTTCGGTTATTATTCAACCAATTAAAAATAATTTTCAATGACTCTGCATGAATGTTTCATATTTGTCACGCATGCTAACAGCTGTTACTATCATCATTATTCATAATTTAAATGCTAAATATAACTTCAGAATATCAAATTGTTCCATCTGTAAGAAAATGGTAGTCATCACAATTGTTATCACTTAAGACTTTTAAAAACATACACACACACGCACACACACATTTCCAAAACCATTAAAAGCAGACACATCTAAAACTACTGATCAAAATTGGAGAACTGACTCACCATCCACCTAACAAAATACGTTAGCTATATTCTAAAATTCCTAATAGGTCTGTTCAACAGGAAGGTAAAAATACCAATGTTTTATATCTTTTGGAAGAACCTCCAAAATTTTGAAACTCAACTGAAAATGGCACTTGTAAAGTTTTAGCCCATTTTGACAATTAAGTTGAAACCTTAAAAAATTGAGAAAATTTGAAAAAAGTTTTTGTTTTTCAAATTTTTGCAAAACCAAGGTCACCCCAGGGTGCTCATTAGTGAAATGCTCTTTGCTGATGATGATGCTGCTTTGGTGCACACTAAAAATGAACTTCAGTGCCTTGTCATTCAACTCACTCAGGCGTGTAGAAAATTAGGATTAACCATAAGTCTGAAGAAGACCAATGTAATGGTTCATAACGTGCGGACCCCTCCTAAAATAACCATTGATGAACATACACAGGAGGTAGTTGAAAGCTTTGCCTACCTCAAATCGACCATTTCCCGTTCTCTGTCTACAGACTGTGAGGTCAACAGCAAGATCACTGGTGCAGCCACAGTAATAGCCAGGTTAAATCAACAACTATGCAACAACCCCAGTTTAACAGTGAAAACTAGACTATATGTCTACAAGGCATTACAGTGGTAAAATAATCATTAACACTTAGAAATGTACTCTAAAAGCTGAGCTAATTTGATAGACTTTTAAACAATTATTATATAAAAGCTGAATGAAATCAATTAAAAATTACTTTCAAGTGCATTTTCAATCTGGAAAATTAAATTTATTTACACAATTTATTTTATATATATAATATATTTATATAAGTTTACAAATTATAATATATATATATATATTGTAAATTTGAAAAGTTATATTAATTTGTATATAGATCATATTATAAATTTATATAATTTTATATGTACATTACACACATACATATTTTTTATTCTTTATTATTGAAGACTGGCCTTAATCATTAATAAGACAATTAATTAATTAATTAATTAATCAAAAATCATTAAGTAATCTTAAATTTTTAATCATCTTCAAATGATTTAAAATAAACATGTAATGTTTACAACAGTCTTATTTTAAGCTGCAAACCAGGGTAACATTTTGTTTCAATGTCTAAAGAGCTGCAGCTGTTGAATATATAAACACTTTCAAGTCAAAAAGTGAAAAATGGTTTGTGATCTTTGTCAGCAGAATCCTTCACCTCAGCAGTTACAATGAGATTGTCTCAAAACTAAAAAAGTTGCTAGAGACCACCACAGATCTAGATATCACGCTGCAACAGAAACTACAAATTTTGCAATGATTTATCTCAACGCAGCTACAATTCGAATTCCGCAGTCACAACTTTCCTCATAGGTGAATATATCGATATCATATCATATCGACTAATCTTGACAATCTCATTGTAGAAAAAGTATCTTCGTTATCATCACCACTCACAACGTAAGCACTAAGCACGTTTCATCGTCGTTGTCATCAACAACAACATTAGAATCATTATCAGCGAAAAAATCTTTATTCATCATCATTAGAATCTCAATAACCACCACCACCACCACCATCATCCTCATTTCACAATTATCTTCTTGAAAGGTAATGTGATCCATCTAACCAATTATATTCAAAAGCTCACAACTCACTCAACTCAACTCAACAGATGATTCATGAAAGAGCAGGGTAATATAATAGAGAGTACTTTCTTATCTCATCTGATTTATCAATACACTTCTATCAGTTAGGCTTTCAAATGCTGAATAAGCAAATAAATAAACAACAAATTATATACAAATGTATAAAAGCACACAAACACATACAAACGCATATTTACAATGCATAATGTATTTACATGTATATGTGTGTAAATGTTTGTGAGTGAGTGTGCATAAATATTTAACATCAATAAAAAAAAATACATAACAATGAATTAAAATTCAAAGAATGGTTAAAAAGTGAAAATTTAAAATGTTGATAAAAATGAACAATGTTATATTTTATTTTAAATTACACTTCAAAAATTTCAACCAAACATCTACATGACACAAACACCAACTCACATCCTTTGAACAATGTGGCCATGTGACACGTGGAAAGAAATAAATAAAAAGAATTCATTATTGTGATCACTATTTTTTGTACAAAGACATTAGGCTGATCTTACTACACTGAGGAAAGAAAAAACAACCAATGTATTTGTTTGTTGAAAGATAGAAAGGGAAGATAAATTATTTCAAATGACACATATGTGGGACAACAACAGCCTTTTTAGAAAATCATTTCACAAACAAAAAATTGATTTATGTCAAATTATAAGTAGTGAAAACTTTCCAACCGATAAATAAAACATAACACAAAGAATTACCTGCATGCTCTTAAAAAAGTTGAAAACTTAAAATTAACACAACCAACAAATACATTCGAAAAATAGATTTAATAAACATATCTCATGTGACAATAACCACAAATATACTGCAAGGATTTCTACTGAATTGGCTCCTGAACAATCTCATCAACGTACATCTTTACACGCATCAAACTAAACCAACAGCAAAACTTCTGACTGTTGATCAAATTACGGCCATTTTAATTAAGCAAGCAAAAATGCTAACTAGTTAATAAAGTAAAAATTCATGCAATCATGCATTCTCTCATTCATTCAACTAATTAAAAAAAGTAAACTAATGATTTTGAAAAAAACCTTGAATTGGCTTTTCATGAGATTGACCTGTTCTTTTGATTTGTTCAGCATGGCTTCGTACATCTTCATCGTCAGCTCTTGTTTCCGTAATTGACTCTCCAAATTCGATATCTGCAATCTATGTTAAAAATTATGCATATCAATATGACATCATAATTTTACGTTTTAAATCTATGAGAAAAAATTTTGAAACTTGACCAAAATTAATTCAAAATTAAATAATGTGAAAACATTAAGCAGTTGTACAGAAAAATTTTCCAACCTATTTTGTTTTCAAAATTCTATTGAAACTAATAACAACCACCTCACAACCATGATTTAGAATATCTTCACAATGAAGCTGTTAAATGCCCCTTTATTATCAGAGCATCATCTCAAATTAATACACATGTACATGCAGGCATACGCAAGCAGCATACAGCATACACACATAACGTATTTTATATATATACATAAACAATATTTTAATGTGCTTGATATTATCCTAACTTAATGGCATTTATCTTAAATCAATGATAACATATTAAAACTCTAAATTTCATTAGATGGAAAAAGCTGAAATATCATTAAAAATTAATTATAAATTCATAAAAGTATAAAAAATAATCTTTAGTGTGTGTTAGAGAATGAAACATGTATCTGACATGACTTCAAAACAAAACAAAGAAAGCAGGATTATAGGGAAAATTCCTATATCAGTGTTACTCCAGATAAAAATTAATTATTTTGCAGAGCTGTCAGTCAAACAACACCCCACCCACCAGCCAATTATATAATTATCAAACTTCAGTTAAGTTGAAAACATATCAGCCACTAACTGTTACTATCACTAACAATTAACTCTTTATCAGCTTGCTAGATGCAAAAACAATTACAAATAAATCCAGGTTTCAAAAATAATTTCAAGGTTAGAAAAGAATAAAACGAAAGCAAGCTTACATGCAAGAAAGATTGAAAAACAGCAAACATTAAAAAAATAATAAAACAAGATGAATGGTTGTGCATAAAATAAAATGAGCATAGTTATGGTTATGGTGGTGGTGGTACCTGGATGCATTGTTGCTTGCATCAGCCACACTTTCAAATCCATCATCTGTTGACATGATCGATAACTCAGGTTTCAGAAAATCACTCAGTGGTGGGGGAGAGTCGGATTGGTGACTATCTGACGTGTCCATCTGTTTGGTCATTGTGCTCTGTTCAACAAATCAATGGTTAACCCAAATTATCAAATAAATGTTGATCACATCGTCATCATCAATGTCTCAACCATGCCTTATTTTATTATTCCATAATAGTTGGAAGTAGAAAGTTTTAATAAAAATGAACAATGAGTTTTAACTCTGCCAGCTTATATTGCAGTTCACAAATTTCAGCATCACCAAATGAAACATCACAACTTTTATATTTATTACAGGCAAAAAATCTGTTAATCACCTTTTGCAATTTTAAATTTTCCAGATGTTTCATTTTCCAGGTTAACAACTTTATATTTGTATCTATCTCTTTCATATGACTTTCAATAGAGTCTATATTTTCAGTGTTTTCTAACCAATTCAAACAATGTTCACTTTTAAAATTATTTTTGCCGTCACTGGCAAGGTTTATATTAGCAAAACTGTTAGTTAAGCTCTTAGGATAACTGTTTGTATTGCTGTACCGTCCGAGTGTTTTTGATTCACCGAGTGCCTGATTAATTAAATACTTTTCATTTTTGTTTATTTTTAAAGAATTGTAATGTGGATATATCAGTTGATGGGGGTGGTTGCTACTATTGTGGTTGTTGTGGTAGTTGTTGTTGATGTTGTTGGGTGGCTGACACATCATTCCTGCCGATGGTGAATACTGACTATTGCTGTTGTTCACCCCTGGAGAATTTAAATTCTCGTACATTGCTGAGTTAGCACGAAATTCGTTGTCACCCCACATAGCTCCGTGATAAAATGTTGAATGACTATTAGTAGAAGGATTAGATGAACAGAAACCGTTAGGTGAATTTCGGCGATACATATTGCAGCTTGTCTTGTTATGATGTCTGTTTTATTTTTGAAATTTTGATTTTCTATAGAGCAGTGTAGATGCCTATTCTTTTCTATACATACAGTCAATGTTTGCTATTATTTTCACCTAGCAAGAAAAATGACAAATTTTTCATTTCAATTAAATTAATTAAATGCTGATCGGATACATGGATATTTAGTTTAATTTTAAAAATAATTTTTTAAACTTTACTAATTAATTAGCAAATACTTCTCTTTTATTTCTGCAATTAACCTCTAAACTGTAAAAAATTGTTTTATTCAATTTTAATAACTAACTGATGATTAAACAATAACAGTAACACTAACTCTTCTAACCATGTCTACTTATTTTACTTAACCAAAATACTAATAAAAAATCTAAACTAAACAAATTGATTTTAACCATTTATATTTTTAATATTTATATTGTTTGTTTATAATAAATTTACATTTACCACTTAATTTATTATTAATGTTTAGTAATTAAATTTTAATTACTTTTATTTACTTGAAATTAAAAAACTTTTTTTTTTTCTTTTTATTTATCAAATAGAAAAACATTTTCAATTTATTTTTTGTTATCGGTTGTTAATTTAATTACGTATTAATTATAAATTAATAATAATATAATATAATAAGGTAATAATTATAAAATAAAAAAAATAATATTATAATTTATTATTTATTTTTTATTAAATACCTAATATTTAAAAATAATTTTAATAATTCTCTGTCAAAATCAAAATTCACGTCAATAAAAAACTAGTTTTTCTTTTTTTGACAAAATATAATAATATATAAATTATTTCATTTAAAATAAAAATGGATAAATTACTAACAAGAAAAAATTGAAAAAACAATCACACAGTGTATTATTTCCCAGATCATGTGAGATGAGATGACAATGAAACAAACGACGCACTTTGAGCGAATGAGCGACTTTTCTGTTTTTTCAATTTAATTTAATTTAATTTTAATATAATCAAACATTTCAGACATTCTTTTTCTGAAGTTAGCGTACAGTACATTATGTATGTAAAGTACAAAACAACTAAGAATGGAAACTACTAAATTTTTCGGTCCAAAATATTTTTGTCCATTAGTATTCAAACTATGAACTCCATATAACGAACTTCTACACTACGAAAATCTCGAATTTTTTTTTCAAGTTTTATGGAATTTTATATACAAAACTGAAAATTTTTGCCTTTTCTTGACGGCCCTACTCTTCTCCTACTTGTTACTTATCTAGGATTGATTATTGTAACTCGCTCCACTATATCTAGCCTTTAAGTAAAGCTACTAACTCTGCTGCTCTTCTATTGCTCAAGCGACCTATTTTTTCTCATTTATTTCTCACACTGGCTACCCATAAAATATAGAATACATTTGCAAAATTTGCACATTAATTTATAAATCTCAATCAGAATTATTTTCTAAGTACTTACCAGTTATCACTTATTAAACATACTTATTAATTAAGCCCGCATTCTCACCTGACCGTCTTCTCACTCTTACTTTTTAACTTCTGTTAACCCATCTCACGCTAAATTTGCGTTTGCTTTTACTGGCTGTTTTATCTGGATTTCTCTACCTACTTCCCCATCGCTTACAAAGTTCAGAGCAGATCTAAACTCATCTGTTTGTAAAATTGAGTGCTGTTGAACATAGCGGAAATGGCGCTATAGAAACTGATTGACTGACCCTACACAAATATATTTTGCGGACGAAATCATCTGATTGTGGCTCACCACATAACTTAAATTATATACCCACATAAATTTATATTGTATTATATCTATTTCGTATAGAATGTACTTTATGACAATGAGAATTAGATAAAAACTGAGAATGGGGCATTGGAGCGGATGCCACCAGGCAAGATTTCAATTGTACTCAAGTTGCGTGTTTAAAGAAATAAAGGGACTACTGCGCAACATAAAATTTAGCTTCTCTTGAATTAAGAGAAGCACAAACATACACAAACGCCAAAGCCACCTTCCTTGGATGTGGATCTCCTAGCCACTGGTAAAGCAACTCTAAATATAGGTAAAAATCGTTTTTTGCAAAACCCGAGTTTAAAACATAGGAACGCCATATGATAAAAAATTTATCACAAATAAAAGCGGGTATAATTTAATTAACGATATAAAGCATCAAAAACAAAAACATTTTTTGAATACTCTCCCCCAACTCCACAAATTTGAAACAAAAAAAGTTATCAGAGTCATGATCGAGACAAAAGATTTCTACGTAATCTAGCAAAGTGACATATAAATCACATTATAACAATTACTGAATTTGAATTCGTAAATAAAAATATAGGTCCTCAAAAGTGACCGTCGAATAAACAAGTGAATAACGGACAAAGTATTCTATTTTTGTGGATAGAAAAATTAAACTCTGATGATGAGCCAATGCTGATTAGGCTGTCCGTTGTACTTGTAAGCGCAGAGATTCGCTCCGTCTTTGTCAGTGTCTCCCCTGATATCCAGCACCAAGCCTGCACCGTTTACAATCTTCTTGCCATCCAGTTTCCATTGGTAATCCTTGTGCACCTTGTAAGTGGCCATCACCAAATTCACAGCACCTGTTTTGTTTGCATTCGTAATGACTTCATCACAAGCAGATGAGTTGAAAACTTTTTGATCAAGACTCATTCGCAAAACGACACAGATTAATTTATTTGTAATATTAATCCAAATACTTCACACAAACCTAAATCAACAAAAACAGCATCATTAAGAGCAGAGTGGATGAATCCAGAGAGTTCATCAGTGTACCACAACTGGCTTTTCGGTGGTGGGTACTGCTTGTTATGCACCACCAACGTGGGAATAACACTTTTCTTGTCTTTCTTTGGGGCATCAATTATGTCAAGCACCTTTCCATTCTTCTCACTCACAATGTAATATTCATCAGATCTGTACAGCAAAACATTAGATTCATTAACTTAATGATTTGATTGCAGATGATACAAAACAAACCTCTTAAAAACAGTTTGAGGAGCAGGACCAGCAGATGGAACGTACTCAAAGTCCCACAGTTGGTTCTTTTCATTATTCAAGTTGTTTTCCCCGACATCTCCAGTTGTACTATCTTTGCAATCATTTGCATCTATTAATCAGCAGTAACTTATTTGGCCTTATTAGTCTCACTGATTCTGCATGCAAATAGCAAAGCTCATTCTAATTCAAATTTAAGCACTTAGCAAACAAAAACTGTTAATAATTTGTGCACCAACAAATCAAAACCCAAAGGTTACAATAGAAAATTTTTTCGAAGTTAGACCACGAGTCAGAATTTTTGGAAAGGGCAGGATTTTTTTTCATCCGACTCCGACTTCTAAAAATATCCTAAATTTAAAAACATTTTTAATATTTTTTTTTCTAAAATTTTATTTCAAGATCGTGTTTTTTAGAAGATAAATGTGTAGCGATATGCAATCATCTTGAATACTGAAAATAAATACCAATAATGTGAATAAAATCACATGGTTTTACTTCAGTACGTTTTAAAACATAAATATAAAGTAATTTTACTAAGAAAAAAAGTTACATTGACTGATTTTAAGTATTTAAGCGTTTTTTAAAGCATTTTTTATTAAGTAGTGAAAATAAGGTAAAATTGCAATGCATGGTAAACAAATTTTCCTGGGTATTAGGGCTTGGAGTTGGGTGTGGGTGTTGGAGCCCATGAGTCAGACTTTTTTCGTTCGACTCCAACACCCTGGTTGATACAAAGGTTTAAAAATTCATACAGAAAATATGGAAAAGCAAGCAACAAAAGCTAGAAAAAAATTAAAATGCCATACTTGCTCTTTACATGCATTAATAAAAAATTTTTCAAACATAATATTAAAAATGGAATGAAAATATGAATATGTTGGTAAATATTACAAAACTAACCTTTTTGTATCATTAAATAATGCATTAGATAAACAATAGCTTTAATAATTAAATTTACATCAATTAATTCATATCAAACAAACTGTGCAACCGACTGATTGTAAGCAACTTACTTAAGATCTCAATGACTTGATTATGATTGAGTCTGTTCCTGATCAGCTTATCGTGCCTCTGCCATTGTTGATTCGGATTGCCACTTTCAAAAGCTTTCACCAGAAGCAGGTGACCTAGCAATAAATTATAAACGTTCAAACATGACTAATCATTGAATTGATAAACAGGCTAGGGTTTAATATATGAAGCAACATCTTTTATCCATAAATATACCTCCACTACATCCAGTCACAATAAATTGGTTCAACAGAAATTATTCAACAAATAATAAACCTACAAACATTTCAATGTGGTAATTAAATTTTTGTGTTTTAATTTATTTATGGCTGCAACAAAACTCACACACTGTAAAAAAAGTTAATTTAAATCTATAATTTTTTATCGTTAAGTAATGTTAAGTAATCGTATATCAAATTTCCCTGCTAGTACAGCTCTGTTAGCAATCACTTCAGCAAGTAAGTAAGGAGTGGCTGGTTTTTAAAGCATGCCAAACTCCAGTTGCATGTTTTAAGTTCAGTTGTAAGGCAGTCAATTCCTTTCAATAAATACATTTTAATCACACTAAATCTAGCTATTAATTTAAAAATAACAAACTAACTGAATAACAAAATAACTGAAAAGAAACCAAGCCTAGAGCATTTAACACATTCATGCAAATGAATCATTCACTGCAGCTGATCAGCTAGAAGAGCAAATAACAAATGTTATTAAGTGTGCATAGCATGCACACAGCAGAATGTTCAAGTTTAGTGAACTGTGAGTGCAATCTCTCTTTTCTTACCTGTCCTTTGAAGTTGCCTATTAATTCAATTATAATTTTCAACATCTAAAACCTTGTTTAGATCAGGATACTTAATTCATGTTACTCTTCACATTCTTACCACAATCAATTATTCAAAATTCAAAAACAGGTATGATAATGGTGTGAGAAAAATCAAATATCCTTATATTTTTTAACAGACCATCTGAAATCAGACTTATGATTCTTCTAACTACACTAAATAAAAGTAAAATGCATATAAGAGCAAATACAGAAACATAGTCAGAGAGTCACATACTGCAGCAATCAACATTAACTAACATGAACTAATTAGCATGATTTTAACACCAGCTACTAATAAATAACCCAGTATGTAAAATTAATGATCATCAATTTTCACTCAACTATCAACTACTTTATGTCTTTGGAAAAAAATTTAAACAACTCAAATTCATATATATTTTTAGACATTAAGACATTAAGTAGTTTATAGTATATATATTAGTACAAACACTGACAATTACCAACATTTCATCAACATATAATAAATATATTTTGAACTTTTACCTTTAATTTCCAAGCAGAGGTCATTGCACTTTGACCTGATGGTTCCAGTGGCATCGTGGTCATACCAGAGTTGATTGGGTTTGCCATGCTTCTTGAACACAATAACCTGGTTGTCATTTCAAGTTTAATTAAACTTCAATGAATATGCAAAACAATTTTTACTAGCTGACATCTAGCAAATCAGTTGTGAGCAGAACCATGCTAAGAATCATTTTTATAAAATAAACCTACAACAAAAAATCTTCTTGTCATTATGAAACTGTAAGAGAAATTATTATTTTTGTCACATTATTGTAATTTCTTTCACAGAAGTTCATCCAATCTTAAGAACATTTTAATTTTAAAAAGGAAAGGAAAACTCACTAAAGACCAAACATAAAAAATTATTGAATATGAGTGAAACACTACAATAGCAAAATAAGTAGCAGCAATTAAATAATCAAAACAGTACAAAAACTGCAATAGCAATAAAATAGTAACAAAAGCAATAATAATAATAATATTAATAACCTTGCTCCCATCACCCCCTGCCTTAGAAACATCCAAGCATTGCCCATTCAGCTGACTTTTGATCAAGTAATATTGACCAGCCTGTTGAGAAAAAAGAACAATTTTTTTTAAATTTTAACAAAAATTCAAAATCATCTTGAATTCCCTGTTGACTAGCCAATAACATAACCTAACTAGTGCAATAAAGTGGACGTAGTAGCAACATTTAATTAATTTACAACAATATCACCTACAAAAGTGTCAAGTTAATAATGCGACATGTCATTCTGAATAAAAGTTTTTTTTAAACATTTAAATTTTAACTTTAGGGCACAAAATATTTTCATGTTTCTATGAACAATCAGCATATTCTAGTAAGAGATAATTGTTGTAATCATTAAATTTACTGGTATCTTTAATTATAATCAATACTTTTCTATATGATCAGTTTTGGCAAATGAATTATTTTAATTACTTTATGTTTCCATTAAAAATCTTATAAATAATACAGCCAAATTGTGTGCCCTTAATTATTCTAATAAATCAAATTAAGGTTTCTCAGCATGATTTAATTTTAATAAAATATAATGAATGGAAATCAAAATAAAATAAATGAACCATTTTTTGTTAGGAAAGCTATGGAACCGCAAAATGAGACTGTCTGCAATTTAAATGGATAATCCAATGTTATAAACAGCTATCTTATCACTAAGTGAAAAACAATTAAAATCAATATTACTAATTCAATTGTGCAAACAGATGTGAGACATTTGCGTTACTACTCATAGATGGCTTTGCTATGCTTAGTTTTTTTTATCTCTTCAGTACATTATTTTTACATTCATGTCTTAGTCAGCATATGATTTATTAATTTATTTAACTATAAACATTTCAGTTACAATGTGTTTGCATTTAGAACAGTAATTATCCTTTCTATATCTTATCATACCATGTAACAAGAGATTTTTACTATATGAAATTATTAGGATCTAGTTTTAAACATCTAATTTTAAACTGGCAAAATTCATTTAACGATCCAAATATTATATGAAGGTCAAGATTCAACACACCTCATAAATGCACCCACCCACCCACAGACAAACTTGTATAATAATTATTCACGTTTATCTCTGTGTCTGTTAATTAATTAATATTATACTAGGCATGTTCTTGTATCTATGTCATACATATAATAAGTTGTTTTAATTAATTGGTCAAATAATACAATTTTTCAATTTTATATACAATACCGTTCTTGAGTTTTTATAACTAAAATTAGTAAATTGTAGTGAGTTAATCATATTCATGTTCATAGAAAAAAGTAATATGGTTGGCCTATTTAAGCTGCTTTCCATACAAGTCCAGAACTATAGGTTAGGACATAATTCCTCAGGTCTTACTTACACCTTCTTATTCCTACTCTTTCTTTCTTATTAAAACTTTTTTTACTAGGTGCTATGCAGTTCTAATAATAATTCAACCAAAACGGAACATAATTTGATAAATTAGTTAATTTGTTTTCTCACTCACTGCAATTGTAAGCACAATGAAACCAACAAACTCATAATGAAAAATAATACTTAGTACAAAAAATAACATAGTTAATAGAGCTTGATTCGTTGTGTTGTATGTGCGTGATGTGCAATATATAATATATAATTAAAAGTGACAATTAAATACGAAAGTTAAAGTTGAAGTTAAAAAATTTATTCGTATTTAAATTCTAAATACATAATGATTAAATAAATAATACATTCGCTATATTTCAATTTCCTGTTATTTTATTTGCATGCCCAATTAAAAGACACCGACATTATCATACGCCACCACAAAACTTTTTTCTTTGGAAGCAGTTTTTAATCAAACGATCATACAAAAATTTGGTACAAAATCCATTGAGAAACATTGCGATAGAACAAACTTTTCACATTCAACCATCAGATAACTAACAAGTTACGTGCCTGATTAATCAAAATTTTTCATAAAACATGTAAATTATAAAAGAAATAAAATATTCTTTAAGAAAAAAATCTGATGAATACACACCTGAGTCGAGAAGACAACTGCAGCAGAACTATTTCCTGTCTGATTGAACATACCCCAGCCAGCCAACTGCTAATAAAGCAAATACTTAGTAGGAATTTTAGCATAATTTATTTTCATAGCATACAAATTAGTTAAGTTAGGAATATTTATTGTGTAGCTGCGTTATTAGTAGTCTCGTCATGCCTGAGTTTGTTTTAAGGTATCGATTATATACGTAATATATAATTGATTTTCTAATTATATGTTAAAAATTTAGTGCAATGGTGGTGGGTGTATGCATTAATTAAACAATAATTTTTTTGAGCAATTAAATCAATTATTATCTGTAAATTTAAATATATTTAATCTGGTATTTTTTGATAAATATATGCATATTGAATTTGAATAGATGCATACATCTTCAAATGTTGACAGTACATCTCTTTTTAAGTCAACTTCACTTTTAAATGAATGATTTTTAAACCATGTTGTTGATTGATGACAGAGATTTTTTAATTGGAATGGACGGACAATTGCAGTACGGTTCACCGGCAGACGAGAATGATTCGTTTCACAGATCTTTCAAACGTTATAAACAATACAAAAAATTGAATGATGCGACGGTTTTGGATTTGCATGATGTAAGGATTAATATCAATTTAAATTTAATTTTAAAATTAAATTTTTTTAATTTAATGCTATTTAATATTTTAATTTAACTAAGTATTTAATTTTAATACGTTGATTAAATTAAATAATTATTTATTATAGTTAAGAAATATATTTTATATTATTAATATATAACTGTAAGCTTTACAACGCTGTGTAGACAGTAATAAATTGATTAACAATGTTAATTCAACATTAACAACAACATTAGTAATTAGTTTAATAATAAATTGGTTGTTAATGTTAACCTTTAAATTAAATTAACAAATGTTAACATATTAATTAAAAATCAACTTTCACTTTCTCGTTTTTTTGTTTTATTAAAAATTAAAAACTCATTACTAATTGATTAATTTAAAAAAATACAATCACTGGTTTTTCAGAAATTCAGATTTTTTGACCATTTGTGTAAAGTAAACTGATTTATCTAAATGAATTTTAAAGACTCATAATTTCATTTACTATTGTATTAATTGTAACAGATCAGATTTTACCTGATAAATTTTTTCTCAGGAATCATCAGATTTTTATTGGAAATAAATATAATTCAGTTTAGTTATAGTCATAAAAACATAATCAAAAAAAGGCATACCTTTTTCTGCAAATTAAATTAATTATTAATATAATGAATAATACTAAATAACTAACCTAGCTCATTACTCTAATTACTTTTTTGTTTAATTACATTTTTTTAAACGCAGTCTTTGATTTTTTTAATATTTGCGAAGAAATGCACACTTTCACTATAATTTTATTAGTTGTATATTTTAATTGTTTATATTATACATTATAATCTGAATGATAAAAGCTGATACTTTAAACTTTCAAATATATTCATTCATTTCATAGAAAGTAAATTTTTTCAAACATGTAGCCTCGACAGATAACCATGTTTGCTGAATATCCATTAGTTCCTTGTAAAAAACTGTGCTTGGGACTAAAGCCAGTAAATACTTGGAAAGGATACACCATTGCTAACCATCCTGGTAAAGCTTAATTTGCCTACTTTCTTTATTAAAATTATGTTTCAATTCTTAATTGTGCTATTAAATACATAAATAAGCACAGGTTTGATATTACTTACCGATGTGATGACCTCAAATTTACAAAAACATCTGGTCAAAAGATGTTTGAATGATTTAGTCAAACAGCCCAATAAAACAAATTTGGACAGTTACACAAAAGAAGAGGACATAGACAACATATTTATAAACTTTTCAAAGTAAGTTGTAACTGAGTTTTTCATTAGTTTTTATTTACTGTAAAAAAAAAACATTATTTTTTTCAACCAAGCTTTACTGACTCAAAGTTTATTGATTGATAATATATATTTAATAAAGCATTTCATTCAGACTTTATAGTTACAGTTGAGAGGTAGCACACTGTTCTCTTATAATCAAAATCCTTGAAAAAATTTCTAGTTTTCCCTCTTTTTAAAAAGCCAGGAAATGACACACATCATGAATCTCAAAGTAAATGAAAGCAGCTAGGGTGCACCTCAAAATAATTAAATTTTCATTTGTGTACCTCATATATATATATAGATTTTATGATTAACACAAACTCATGTCACATTCTAAATGCCTTAAAAATTTTGTTTTTTATAAGAGTAAAGAATAAATCAAGTTTGTTGAAAAAGTTAAGATGGATTACAATGGGATACCACCACAATTGGGACACCAAGGTTTTTCACTTTGCGATTATTCTTTAAAATAAGATAATCATTCATTCTAAAATGGTTTACAAATGCAAAGTTTTATAATTGTATAATTTTTTATAAAATAAATTTATGAGAAAATATGATGGTAGCATGAAAAAGTGTGATGCTAAAATTTCCATGATACTGCTGTCTGCATTTTAAAAAACGATAAATTGGATTGTAATATTTCACATAAAAATGGAACTGGTTTTGATAAAAAATTTTTTTTACCACTTTACCGTTTTCACACTGTTCTTTAAACTTTTCTTTTTTGCCAGTTGTATGCAGAAGAAAATAAGAGTGAAATGCCACAAGATATATCAGAATTGGCTGAATGCATTGCTAAAGTGGTAGGCTTCACAGAATTTACTGCCGAAGCCGGTATAGTGAATGTTTATCACAAGAATTCCTCTTTGGCTGGACATGTAGATAATTCTGAATATGATTTTTCTTCTCCAATTATATCATTAAGGTGAGTAGCTTGGCATTATGGTGTATGTTCTGGATTTTGTGTCATGAGTAGCTTGGCATTATGGTGTATGTTCTGGATTTTGTGTCATGGTTTAGTTAGCTGATTGTTGAAGTTGTTTCATTTTACAATTTCACAAAAATTATTATATTTAGATAACCTAAGTAGATACTAATTGATTGCTGAAACTTGGATTTTTTTAGTTTTACTCATCTGATTGTCCATTTCTGTTAAACAATTTTATCAGCACCTGTTAAAACACCTGTAAAATGATTTCTGAACATTTTGAACCATATTATAAAAAAATTATATGCTTTTCAAATAGGGCTTATCTGTGAAGCTTTGTTATTAAATCTTAAGCTGAAGATCAGTTTGAATTTCTCATAACTTGCCATCAGAGTTAACCTTCTTTAGACATTGATGACAATGTTCAGTAGTTAGTTTCTTATTAAAAGTGTCCAGTAAATTAGCATGCAAAACATGATTATTTGACAAACAAAATCTTAATCGTTCAGAAATTTTATATTGTTTGTTCATATTTTACACAAACTCCAGGTGGTAGTTTTTTTTAAATTTAGCATTATTTGGTCTCTATCTCAACTAAATTGTATTTTATTGTAAACTTTGTAGAGCACTTTTTCTACAAGCCATTGGAATTTTAGAAAATATAGAACTGCCTAAGTTAAAAATGAAATTAGACAAAAGGCTTGTAACATAAAACAAGCCCAACCAGTTCTGATAGCTAAAGCTGTGATCAAGCAATTTAACATACCTTTTCTTTCAATATGACAAGCAGTAAGCAGATTTTGACAACCTGCTTTTTGAGTTAATACATTTTAAACAATAATACTTCACATATTGGTAATACAATTAATGATATAATCAAAGATTTCTATCCTAGGTAATCCTCAAGCTGTATTCTCAAATTTGTAATCATGCTTTTTTTAATCAATCCAATTCGAAACATTTTTGAGACTGTTTGATGTAAATTTAAACAGGCATTTTATTATATAACATTAGTTACATACTATAGATGGAACTACGTTTTTTATTAATTGGTTTTAAATTTTATTTATTTAAATCAGTTTAGGATGTACATGCATTTTTCTGATTGGAGGACCTGACAAAACATCTGAACCAACAGCATTGTACTTGAGATCTGGAGATGTGGTTGTCATGTCTGGAGAGGCTCGACTGTGTTACCACGCTGTTCCATGCATCATAACAAGTTCATACACATGTCTGAATGACAAATCTACTACTGACTGTCACGAAAAGTGCTTTGATAGCAATGAAAACAACTCTAAAATAAATTCAGAAAGTTATACAATGGACAATGACTTTGACAATGATTGGCATTTATATGAAAATTTTTTGAAGGAATCAAGGATTAATATTAATACTAGGCAAGTACATCAAAACATAATGACTGGTAGAACTTCTTGAGTCAATTTTGTAAAATGTGACACTTTTTTAACGTTTTCAGTTCAATAAAAAATGAATAAAGAAATTTTTAATTTTCTATTTGAATTTATTTTATTTTTTTGCCATTATCAGTCAAAAATCATCCATTTCTCTATATGAAAATGTAACATCAAAAAAGGATTAGAATTATTATTAAAAATTTAATGATCATGACCATGGGATTTTTTGGAAGCTGATATTCCTAATGCATAATCTGCAGCCACAGTGATGACCATGGCAGCTGCTGCCCACTTGAAACCTTTGAAAAAATTGTTAATCATATTCTTTGCTACACCAGGATGATTAGATGGATGGTAGCGCCACACCTCATTTCTGTTAACATGTTTATTTTAAAAATTAGACAAGTTTCAAACAGTTTTCAAATGATTTTGTTAAAAGTCATATCAAATAGGGATAAAGTTTAAGCACTTCATTTTAATTCAATTAAGTTAATAAATAATAATGTCCAACTATATAAGCAAATATAAGTGAAGCCTCAACAGAATTGTGAAAATAAGTTAAAACATTCAAATAAGACCTCTAAAAATATTTTGCAGAAATTGACCAGGGTATAAAAGGAGACTATGAAAACTTGATATAATGAAAAGGAACTTATAAAATGTTGAGGGATATGCAGGGTGTCGCAAAAATTGTTTATTGTGTATAATGCCAAAAAAAAAATAAAAATTACAACTACCAGTGGAAGTAACATAAAAATGAAAACAAAAGTCAAATAATGTGCATCATGTTAAGTAAACCAATCATACAAAAATCATAAAGTAAACTATTTCATGAAAATAAAACTATTGAAGTTTATGGAATATATTAAAAAAATGTTAAATTAATATTATTAGTGAAATGAGGTTAGCAAAAATTATCATTGGAAATTGGGAAAAACCGGAAATATATATTTGTAGGTTAACCAAATAAATAATTCAGTTTTGAAATTCTGAGACTAGTTCATTTTTTTAGTCAATATTTCAGAGAGTATTGAATTTAAATTTTAATTAACAACAGACTAGTACTATTAGTAGATTAGTAGAGTAGCATCAGATATGTCATGGGGAAATAAAAATTAAAAATATTTTTTATTAGTTTGAGTTGGCGAAAGCTTCCATTCTTATCTGCTTATTATCATGATTGTAAAATTGAAATAAAATTTAATAAAACTGACATGATGCTTAACTTAAAACTGATTAACATTAGAAAATGAATTCAACTAAAATTGGTTGAAACCATTTTCTAGTGATTTCTGAATTAAATTTGAAATATACATTATGTTATTAGTCATATTACAGTTGAAAAACCTTCATTCTAACTTTAATTTGATAGTTTATGTTATTATTTTTTAAATTTTTAAGATAAAAATTGAAAGTTGAAAATTTATAAAACCTCAACCACGGATCTTTCAGGCCTTTTTCGGCTAACTTTCTTTGAACTTCTTCTAATTCTTTTATCCCATCAATTTTATACTGCTTCCAGTCAGGAGCTTGAAATTTTTCGCCGTGTCCTTCGTGGTGACCATGACCACCAGCCATTTTGTACGTTTACTTTTTGCAAACTTTTTAAAATTGAATTTTTCTGAGAGCAAAGATAAACAAACCTAAACTCATGCTCATATATGTAGAATTAAATTAATAGTAAATTTGGTTAGAATCCTTGGGTAAGAGAAAAAATTGTACAGTGGATTAAAATTTTTTATTATATACATTTATATAGGAGCACTATTAGCATATATCTCAACTATTCACATCTATTTGTCGGAGATTCGCCTAAGTAAAAGATTTGCAGTAGTTTTTATTTTGGAAATCTTATGACGATCATAACTTTTTTTTGACCATTTGATTAATGAAACAAAAATTTTTGGATTATGGATTACACATCTAACGACCAGAACGGATCTCCGGTTTTGCCCTCTTACTCATAACAACTCACAGCAAAGGGCATTCGTACTAGCTGACTTAATTTTTATTCTACATTAGCCATTCTAGGTTTTTTTATGCTAGGATTAGAGCAAAACTCAACAATACTCTTGCGTGGATTGATGACAAATCAGATAATGAAAAAAGTTGGCTTTTCTGGCTTGTAATAAGTGAAAAAGCAGCATAAGACAAATAAGAGATATCGTACATAATGTGATTTTTTAAATTAATCATTCCAAACGTTTTGTCTAATCGAAATAAACAAATTTGACTCAGCTTTGCCTGGCTCAATCAATAAGTTTCTAATGCGCTTATTTCAACAATGTTCAATGAGCACCTTAAATATAAAAATCAAAGTTTCTTTCTGAATCACACATGGATATGTGATCACTCCATGTATAAATAATATCCTTGGTATATATATATATATATATATATATATATATATATATATATATATATATATATATATATATATATATATATGGTTTACCCGATAGATCTATTAGAATGTTACAGTCTATTCAAAACCGTACAGCAAAAATTGCATATATATATATCCATGGATCACGTCTCAAAAATTGTATGTTTCTAATGTTTTCATTATTGTAATTTTTACCATATCTATGGTTTTCACATTTTTTAAAATGCATGTGAGACCTGGCAAAATTATGAGACTGAACTTAGCCACAATGACCGACCTATATAATTTTATAAGCAATCTTCGATGCCAATTATACACATGTTAAAAAACCAATTATACACACGTTAAAAAGAAATAAACGTAAAAAAGAGAAGGTACAGCAAGCCTGCATGCATATGCGATATATGTTATATTATGTTATATGATATATGCTGTTTAAGTAGCAGCTGACATTTATGCATGTTATTATAGGCTTATATGCTATATTATGTTATATGCTGTTTAAGTGGCAGCTAACAGGTATGCATATAAACATGTATATATAATTATATAGTTATATATCGATGCTTATAAAAATATATAATACTGTAGTTGTGTGTATTTGATAATCCTATTAATTTCTATTATTTATTAGTAAATTAAATATTAGATAATAATTATTATTTTTCTGCTGTATTTGTAGAAAAACATACACAATGAACACACAATGCATTTTTTTAAATCAATAACGATAGTTAACAGTTATAGAAACTCAATTCTATTTGTTAATCATTAGCAATAAATAAATAATTTGAAAAATTTATATCAACTACATATACTTAAAATTAGAGATGCACCGAAGTTCGGCCCCGGCTAAAATCCGGCTTTTTTTCAAATCCGGCCCCGGCCGGATTTGGTGGCCGAATTTAAGCGTCTATCAACATTTAAAAATGTTATAAATAGAAATTTTTTTTATTGAATTCAATTAATTTTATGTCAATAAGTTAAAGGCTAAGCATATATGACACATAATAACAACATCACTAATTGTGAGGTGAGCTGGACAATTTTCTTTATGCAATAACATGGGTTATGCATAAATTATGAGCTGATCTTTGTGTAAAATTGTATATAATGGATCATATAGCTACATATTATATATATATATAGACATAAGCACATAATTTAAGAACATGGTATGTTAAAGGTTAGGCTAGGCATACATGAAACATAATTACAACATCACTAATTGTGAGGTGAGCTGGACAATTTTCTTTGTGCTATAACATGGGTTTTGCAAAAATTATAAGCTGTGCAAGTGTGCACGTGCATGCATGGCACATAATAACAACATCACTAATTGTGAGGTGAGCTGGTCAATTTTCTTTATGCTATTACACGGGTTATGCATAAATTATAAGCTGATCTTCGGGCATAATGCATGCAGAACCAATGGCACCGATCTCATCTAACCTAATGATGAACTACGTTGTGCGATTGGCTACAATAAAAAGGGCACACAAACACGAGCGCACACCGCTTAAAATTCAATACTAAAAAACATACATCGATGCTACTCAACTGAAAAAATAGCATAACCAAAAAAGCCCATTGAATAAAACGCACATAGACATAAACGAACATTGTTGAATTTGAAGTCAATTAAATTTATCATTGAATTAATTGTTAAAGATATCATTGGGTTATTTTGTTAATTCTTGACACATACAATACACACACAAACACAATACATACACAAACATAATACATACACAAACACACCCACGCATACACAGGCTAGAGGAACGTGTAATTTAATTTTTTTTGTTGATCCATTTATTCACAATAAAATAAAGTGAAAGAGTCAGCCTAGCAATAAATGTTTATCTAGGGTTGACGTGTTATAATGATTTTTATAATGAAATAAAAGCGATGATGGCAGACCAATAGTACCGACCACCATGTCTGCGAGTAAAATTTTATTTTGCCCAGCGATATCCTTCTGTTTCAGTCGTTGTGATACTACGCGCAATGAAATGTGTTAGTTTTTCGGGTTTTGAACATTCTGAAAGGCTGTTTTTTTCATTGGCTGATATATTGTTAGAAAGGTAATTTAATTCTACATCAGTGGTAGAAATCTTTTTTTGAAGCCGCAATTATGAATAGTGAAAAAAAATATTTTTGTGATTTGATGCACAATAAAGTGTGTTTGTTTTTCGGGTTTTGAACACCCTGGAAGGCTGTTTTTTTCAGTGGCTGATATATTGTTAGAAAGGTAATTTAATTCTACATCAGTGGTAGAAATCTTTTTTTGAGGCCGCAATTATGAATGTTGAAAAAAAATGTTTTTGTGATTAGATGCACAATGTAAATGTTTTTGTTTTTCGAGTTTTGAACACCTTGGAAGGCTGTTTTTTTTCAGTGGCTGATATGTTGTTAGAAAGGTAATTTAATTCTACATAAGTAGTAGAAATCTTTTTTTGAGGTTGCAATTAATAATATTTTTAATCGCCTTTTATGTTCAACTTACTGTCAATTTTTTTATGTTGTTCAATACATCATACAATCATTGTTCATACATGCGTTACTTAAATATATAGAATACATACTTTTCATACATTTCAATGATCAGTTAAGGATTTATATAGCTATACAATTATTGGTAACATATATGAACATCTGCTGAGCATTAAGCAGATGGTCCTTTTTTTTCACGATCTCTCCGCGCACATAATATATAGGTCGGTCGTTGTGGCTGGTGGCTAAGTTCAGATTCATGGCAAAATTGCATTTTGTTTAATTTGGTTGAACCTCGTTAGACTTGAATAAGGAATAATTAATTATGAACCTTGAAAAATATAATCAAGAATCGGGAAGTAATGTAATAGAATAACATTTTTTATTGCATTTATAATTTCCATTCCATATAATTATACAACTATTACCTAAATTACAGTACCATACACATAAAAATTAAATAAGGACACAACAAAAGAAAATAAATAACATATTTTGACTTAATATTTATTTTGACTTAATATAAATAAAACTATAACAAACATACATCAAATAGTGGTTAGGCAGGTAATTAGAGGCCATGCTTATGTCGGTCACCAAACCGTTGATCATTATATTATATTATATATAATATTTATTAATTAAATATTTAAATCTTAAATGCAAATGGCAAATAAAAGGGTGTGACCAAAAACGAACCTTATGCCGCATTATAATGCATTTTCCAGTTTTCCCATTAATTCATCACATTTATATTTTATTTATATTATAATAACTCAGATTAGTTAACAACCTCTTTATTCTAATTTTGGCTGCGTTAGTTATTATTAAATTATCAATAATATAATAAACAAAGACTTTAAATAATTAAACAGCTATAATATAAGCATTCGTAATTACATTGGTTAGATTCACAAAGGCTTGGCAAAATGTAGTTAAACAACTTGCCAACAATTTTTTTATGTACTTTTTAAATTAGCGAAGAATGTGTTCATTTTAAACATTAGTGGTATGTTTTTCAACTTATGAATTTAAAATACGTTTATTTCATACTTTTTGACTAATTTTGATGTTTGAGAAAAGAGCATATATATAAATTATAATATGTACATACATTTTTCTTAACACAGGTTCTTGCTAGGTTGAGTAGAACCGATGAACTGGAAATTAAAAAAAACTCTGGATTTATTTTTATCCATAAATTTGGAAAAATTATTGAACTTACAGGACCTTCGGGGTCTGGAAAAAGTCAATTTATTTTACATACCATTTCATGTGCTATAACTCCTATAGAATATTTAGGAATAGGAAGGATCAATGGGTGTGAAGTAGATTTTATTGTGGTTACAGCATGTTCAAGTTTCAATATGATGAGATTATTAGCTATCATGGAATCTACAATAGTTCAAAATATCAATCTTGATAATAAAGGTTTTTTTTCTATAAATTGTGATATATCAATTTTTTTTATTTTACTTGCTTAACTTTTGATTTTGTTAGAAGAGGAGTGGGATACAGATACAATAGAGAAATGTATAGAAGATAGTTTAAAGAGGTTGCATATAATTAACTGCACTGATATCACAGAAATGCTTTCCAGTTTGATAACTTTGAAAGTAATGCTTTATGAAAACCCTAAAATAAAATTTATTGCTATTGAAATGAACTACATGTTTCCTTGGCCAAATGAAAGAGAAAGTAGGTTTGATTAAAATGGTCTTTAAAAAGTTACGATGGATGATCTACTATAGCGATTGAACTTATTAATTAATGTTATTTTTAGGTGATGATGATGAAAACAAAATGATTGTGATCAACAGACTAAAAGAACTGTCAACTTTGTTCAACGTATTAATTATGGTAACGAACATTGAAATAACATCTGGTTTACTACAGTCCTCAGAAAAAATAAAAATATTTGGTTCCAGGGTTGAAAAACTATTTGATGAGAAAATAGTGTTTTCTTGTGTGGGACAGAACAAATTTTCATTAAAAAATACTGTTAGTTTAGAGAAGGCGTCTCTGGACTTGAATAATGGATTATTGTTCAGTAAATCTTGATTTGTTGGAAAGTTTATTTTAACACAACATTATTTATAACAAGTAATGACCGGCAACCTGTTTTAAACAGTTGATATGGTACAACTATTATATCTATAATTTTATTGAAACTCCAGAATGACAATTAAAATCATTATTTCGACATCCAAATTTCAAATATTTTTTGAACACAAATAAATCTATGAGCCAAAAAAAAACGCACCACATTCACTGACTATCAAAAATAGCAATTAAAAAGCAGATATGTGATTCATGTTTCATGATTTGTCAAAAAATTATTCATTCACAAATAAAAAATTAAGTATCTATTGTTATAACATTAAAAGGGTGATGAGTAATTCAAATAATAGTAAAAATTACACTTAAATTTATATATATCTATTTGCACTTTCATGCAACATGCATGCAATGAGAAGCATTTTAATACTAATTAATTTTTGACTGCAAAGTTATTCACATTCATTCATTTTAGAATAATATACGGCCATTCGATTCACAATTTATAACTCAACAATAGGAATTATCTTAATTTTTATTCATAACAAACAATTGTTTTTTTTTTAATAAAACATTTAAAGGGTTCAGTGAATAATTGGTTGAAAAGCTTACGTAAACATGATTCTAAACTGTACTCTAAAAATCTAAACAAGTCCTACCAAGAAGACTTCAACAGCTATTTGTGCTTTCTTGAGCAAAAAGCTCACTACAAAACTCATTAAAGTTAAAAAATAAGAGAAATATTAGTGAAGAAAAACATACATCTAAATGTAAAAAATGTCATACTTTGAAATCTAATTCACAAGTTTCAACTGTTGCAGCATAGCTACAATAGCCAGTCTAAGTCCTTCAGCCAATTGCCGGGCTGAATATGGTCGATCAAGAGGAGGTACATGAATAAATGTGGTCCTGCTTTTGTTTATGGTCAAAGAAGAAAAGTATATGAAGTCACAGAGATACCTATAAAAAGTAAAAACGGGTTACGTGAATTTTTTTAAAAACACGTCACCATAAAATATTTCAAAATAATTTACAATTACAAAAAATTAATTTGTGAAAAATTTGAATTTCTGTTATGCTGTCATTATCTATGTTCAGATGGCAAGGATGATTTTGATAAAATCAATCAATCATCGTTTAGCGTCCAGAGACCCAGTTCTCCCAAGGTAGGACGTTGTTTTCTTTGCCATCAATTTTTTGCGCCAAATTAGGCGATCAGTTGTATCCATTTCATTTAAATTTAGAACTTTCATGTCTTGCTCGATTGTCTGCGACCAGGACTTCTTTGGACGGCCTTTGGGACGTATACCAGGTACTTCAACATCTGCAAAAGAAGTTATAGCACTTTCCACTTCGTTTGACATGATCAAACCACCTCAGACAGTGTTGCCGACATTCGTCCTTTATATCATCTAAACCAGCACGACGCAGGATTTCGATAGATTTGATGTGGTCCTTCAGACTAATTAGTTGCATCCATCGGAGCATTTTCATATCGGTTCGGTGAAGTTGTTGTTCCAGTTTGGTTGTCATTAGCCATGTTTCTGCACCATATAACAACACCGGACGTATTACAGATTTATAAAGTCTTGATCGTCACGCCGCATCAATATGCGGCGTGACGATAGAGGCAAGGAGATGCTATTTATTCCAGGCTGCACGTATGCGTGCTCGAACGGTAGCTTCAGCTGTTCCAGTACAATCTAGAACATCCCCTAGATATTAAAACGATGTGACTTTCTCTACCTTAATGGCTTCAAAAACATTGCTATTTTGAATTTGTTGTTGTGGATTGATGCAAGCAGGACAAACAAAATTGGACACTTTAGATAAAGTACCAATTATTTTTGAACAACGTTTGTGACACCACTGGCTACACTGCTGACACTTGATTGAATTGATACCTACACCAGCTTTACAAACTGCCATTATCCAGTAGCTGTGGATTAGATGGGTTCACCAGTGTTCATTGCTTTGGTTTTGCTGATGTTGACTTTGAATCCATGATCGGCGAGTCTGGTGTTCCAATCTTCAAACATCTGTGCTGCATTCTGCTCAGACGTGGCTGTTAAACCGATATCATCAGTATATATTAGATTCCAAATGTCACCAGTGCGTATCGGTTTTGTGATTTCTTCCATCACAGTTATAAATAACAGTGGACTGAGAATCGAGCCTTGGTGAACTCCAACGCCGATGTCAAATGCATCTGTGTTTCCAACCGTTGTGCTGACGAGAGTCTTAGTATTCGTATACATTTCAATCACAAGTTGAACTAGATATTCTGGAATGAGTTGTCGATGTAGACTCCACCTGATTGCTTCACGGGGAACTCGATCAAATGCTTTTTCAAGGTCTACAAAAATGTGTGATAGTTGTTGATGCTTTGCGAGGTACTTCTCTTGCAGTTGCCGAAGGATGTGAATTGCATCAATTGTTGATTTCCCAGCTAGGAAACCAAATTGATAATTTCCGATTGTGATGCACGACGTTAATCTTCTCTCAATAATTTTCTCGACAATTTTCAAGGAGTGTCCTAACAGACGTATACCCCGATATGATGAACAGTTCAATGGATCACCTTTGCCTTTGTATAGCGGGACTGTCATGCTATGGTTCCATTCAGTCGGCTTTGAGCAATTTCTCCAGATTTCACGGCAAAGTTGTAGTAACGGTTGGATACCTGCAGTACCAGATGTTTGATAATGTCATTTGTGAGTCCAGAGGGCCCTGCTGCCTTTCCATCCTTCATAGCTTTCAGAGCTTCTGTAAGCTCCTCTACAGTGATGTCTGGAATCGGACCTTCGATGGGTGGAGCTTCAAAGTTGACATTGATGGGATTTGTTTCATTTAACAAACGGTTGAAATATTCTTTCCACTGTAGCTTGAACCATCTCATTTTTTGTCGTTTTTGATACATGATGCACCAACTATGTCTTTTTTCGTACACTTTGCTTGTTTTGCTATACGATACAGAGATTTCATTTGTTCACCTTTGCTTTTAGTGAGCCACTCTCTGCACTGATTTGTCCGAGCCAGTGCGACTTGACGTCTTGCATAGTTGTTCTTCTCACGGAAAATTTAGTGGTCATCAACAGACTTTGATGCAGCTTTCTTTTCAGCTATTGCATTTTGTACACCGTCATTCCACCACCACGTGTCCCATTCATGCTGGCGTTTTGTACCAGTTTTCCTACAAACTGTAGTTGCAGCGTTTATCAAAACGGTTTCGTATGTACTCCAATCTGTATTGGATTGCGATTGGTGGTGTAACTGGGTGGCGACAATCTGTTGAAATTTTTCTCGATGAATATTGCTTTTCAGCTTCCACGTTTTGATTTTTCTGATAAACCTTTTAATATCCAGTACTTGTTGGGCTAGCGGTTCTTTGACAAAAATTCCAACACCATTTTTGGCCGTCTTTTGACCATTCCAGAATAGTTTATATTTTTCTTTGTCTGTATTGATATGACAGACACCATTCGATTTCCATCAGGTCTCCTGAAGGCAGCAGATGTCAATCCTACGCTCGAGCATTTCTGCGATTTCCATGCTGCGGCCAGTTAGTGTGATCCAACATTGAGCTTTCCAAGTCTAAGTATGATAGAGGGGCCATTCTGAATTTTTCTGCAACATCCCTCCGCTATTGCATTCTTCCCAGGGATTCTTAGCACCCCTTGACCACTTAAGGCCTGCTGGGGACTAGGGGCCGTTGTTTTTTGTGATGGCATGGAATAAATTTCGGGGAAACTTTTTACATCCGGACACTCATCATGACGACAACCACCAGTTATAAGCGGTGGGCCTATCCTTTTGCTCAAAAGCACGCAAGGCAGCGTGGATGCAGTTTTATGTCATGCCCAGGACTAGATTTTTATAAAAATTATGTTATAACGCATACAGTAAACGTTTGATATAAAGTAATCAATTACATGTACCTAGCTTCGAAATTGCGTTTTTGTAAAATATTTGTTATCACAATTTTGAAACATATCACAAACTTTTATCACAATTAAAACAGCCAGAAATTGACGACAATTCACTTTCAAAGTTTATTGGATGTAGTCAAAAATGTTAAAGATCAAAGTTAGGTTAAAAAATCCCACGAAATGCTACTAAATATAGAATAAGCTTTGACTGACTATAAAGGAAAAAACCTAGCTTTTTGTGAAAACATTTGTTATCACAAATCCGGCTAATCAATGCAGTATATTATATTTTGCACACATCTACATCACATGATAATTTCAACATGTTGAAAATACTTTTTAATAAATTTTGTTATTGTCTGGACTCCTAATTATATATTTAGCTTGGTGTTAACTAAATGTTATTCTGATGAGAAACTATGCAAAATTATAGAACAAAACTGTATAGAAATTATAATATATATTAAACATTTTTTAAAATTAAGAATAAGTTAACCTGCCAGGATCAGTGGACACAACAGCGGTAACCTTTTTGTCAGATTGGTTTATGTAGTCGCAAACGGCCTGCATATCAATACAAGTCTCAATGCATTCTTCAGCTCCTTCAACACAACACTCTCCATCTGGTGTGCATCCACAAATATCTAGCTTGTCATATCCATGATTATGTGCTTGTTTCTCCAAGGTAATTTCCTGTGCTATTCCAGATACGCCAACATGAACGACAAGCTGCCATAGTTTATTCATTTAAACAAAATAAAATAACTGTGACATAAATTTGGGATATGTATGCAAACCTGAGGTTTGTGAGTGTTCCACATGTTTACAGTATATTGACGAACGGCATCATATATAACTGGTATTTCTTCAGTGATCAATTTAACATTGCCAGCTTCTTTGCCCAAACCCATTTTAGATAATTCTTTCACAGCCTCCCAACTTGCATTAACAACATGCATTGCAAAAGGTCCAAACCCTTTAAAAATTAACAAAAAAAGCTTGGTGAAAATATAAGTAAACTAAACTAAAACATTTCCAGAACATATAAAGCTAGTATGCAAAAATTTTAGATTGCTAACCAGTTACTACGACTGTCGGTTCATTAGGACATGTACAATCCCCCATCGTGCAATATTCAAAAGAGGACTTCAATGAAAAAACAAATGAACCTTCCAAAGTATGTTGAAATTACTACACAAAATGAAAATACTTGACCAATTAGTAAATTTAATTATCTTGACATTTTAAGAGTAAAATAGAATGGACAATGCTACATAGAATAGACAACAGAGACTGAACACCGGTTAGTTTTTAAACTTGCGGCTATTTCTTGTGTAATCTATATTATATCTAATTTTCTAAATCTAAATTCTAACTGAACTGAAAAACTACAATTACAAACCAATCAAAATTTGTCCATTAGTTATTAATTTATTCTGAAAATAAAATTGACCAGCCTAATAAATAGAACAGAGCAGATAGTAGGTGTAGAGGGGAGAAATACAACTTACTACACTAACAGTACTATACTAATACTAACTACTAACATAACTCTAACAACACTTAGTAAGAATAAGTTGCTTATCTGTTCAACTTAATCTTATCTGATAAGATATAAAATAAAACATATATTATACATGAGAGTTTATTTTATTATTTCTTTCAAAAGTTTCAAAACCTACCTTTTTTAACTAATGAGAATTTTTCTTTAGGTGAACTCTTTTTTAAGAAATATTCAAAATAATTTAAATAAATCTCTATCAAATGAATACAGCAAATTTGATAACGTTTATTTTATGCTAGAAGATCGACTTGGTTTAGTTGGGTACGATTAGGTGTTAAGATTTCATAGATTCCAGCTTCAGTTTGTCGTCGGGCCTTGCGCATTAAATATGGAAACTGTAAACAATAGTCAGCTGTTCATGTCGGAGCTGACCCCGTATCATTTCGTCACGTTTGTTGTATAGTTAGTAATTTTATAATCAAAATATCACATTAAAAACCTAAATTTAATAAACTGCATTTAATATTTTAAGTTTATATACTTAACTGTATACTTTTACGGACACAACAACTTGCACATAATTCACGTTCATGTAGTAATTACTCATGTAATGGATAAAATCATATATATAAAAAACTAGTTTTTTATTTTAAAAATATAATATGTTATTCTGAGTATATGATATTAACTATATATATATATATAGAATGAAAATAAACTAACAATTAATCAATAATAATAATCAAGATAGTTTGTGGTTTAGGGTATGTTTCAATATCGCTCGTTTACCGTTTCTTTGCTAGCTTAACAGGCTGTTTTGTCAATATTTGTCGCTCCGCTTAGTTATGTGATCGTCGAGAAAAACGCATTTAAAAACGTTACATTAAATTTTTATAAATTATTCCCGTTCACAATTTTAGAATTAGTATAAGATTAAAAAATGAAGACTAAAAAAGTTAGTTTTTTTTTTGTTTTTTCTCCACCATTGACTACCCATGTGCTTTTTTATTTTTACACAGCCAATGAAAATGGAAATGAATGAATTAATTTTGAAAATATAAAAATAATTAGTTTAATCTTTAATGTCAATTTTTTTATAATTCAATGATAATTATTGCTGTCAGTATTGGCACTATTAAAAATAAAGTCAATAGATATCACACAACACTTTTGTCTTTTTTTTTATTCTAGTGTAATCATAATGTAATAGTTAGTTTGAGTTAGAACAAAATATTAATTATAATATTATACAATAATTGTAATTTGTAATGAGTTAGAAAATTGAGAAATTAAATGTTTTATAAAAGATAATATTGTCAGCTGAAACCTGCACTGTACCAGACAATCAGTGCATTTCAATTTCAAGCTTTTAATTAATAATTTGATTGTTTTTGTATATTATTAAAATTATTTATAGAAATGGTTTGTCCCTTACTGCTTGATAATCTTTATCCAAGTTAAATAAACATGATATATTATTTTTTCATAAACATTATGATTATATACTGGCAATTGTAACATAAAATGACAATACTTTTTAATGTTTCAAACGTTAATATTTGGAAGTTCAGTTAATTTTTGTTTCTTTTTTTTCAACATCAACATGGAACATTTTCCTGCTCATCATCTTTCAGCAGTCATTAATAAAATTGTTTGTAAAATGATTGAAACAGCATCTGTTTCTAACAGGCCTTTGGTAGCTATGCTTTATCTGGGCGCCTCTGATACTACACATAGAGCACTAAACAAATAACATTATCATTATAAATGAACTTATTATTATTTTTTCAATGCAGGTTAATTTAAAATCTGATGTTGAGTCTAACAAAAAAAAAGCAGAGAAAAAGTTTGATTCCCCAGTCTCAAAATCCGATGGTAATGTTTGTTTGTATTTAATCAATAGTTTTTTTTAGCATAAAGTGATAGTTACATTTATTTACAATTTTCAGCTTAATCATTTGTTGACCATTTTTAAATTTTCAATAAATTATTTATTACAACAAAAAGCAATTTTGATGTTGTTTCTTTTAGTTAATTGCACTATGATTAAATGTATCCATTATTGCGTCATCTACTTTCAATGAATAGTTTTGTGAAAAATATTTGTTGTAAACAGAGAAAGATAGAAAACGATTGTTTGTAAAAAATTTGCCATTCAGCTTGACGAAAGAAGAACTACAAAAAGTTTTTCCATCAACCACATCCATAAAGTTGCCCCGATGTAAAGATGATAATAAATTAAAAGGGTGATTTTCTGACAGTAATGATTTCATGATGTTTGTTTACTAATCGTAACATTTTTTCATAGATATGGCTATCTGGAATTTCCTGATATACAAACGGCAGATGAAAATTTAAAAAAATTGCAAAACGTGGTTGTTGGAGGTAGAGCACTAAAGCTGTCCAAAATAATTCATAGTGAGAAGAATGTTACTGTACGTCCTGCTGGTAAGTTTATTTAAAAATATTCACATAGAGAAATATTCTTATAGGTCAGGGGAACATAGATCGATGATAGACTATATATTGGTAAGAGCCAAACATAGGTAGTATGTAAAGAATGTGAAGGCGATACCTGGTATGTTGCAGCATAGTATGGTTGTGATGGATGTGACATCAAAAGAAATGGGGAGGAGGAAGAAGGATAAGTTTGTGGCAAAGAGAAAGACATGGAAGTTGCAGGATGCAGAGGTGAGGAAGGCATTTGAAGTGAAGGTGGCTGAAAATTGGGAGAGTGGTAAGGATGGAGATGTTTGGGAGAGATACAGGGACTGTGTGTTGGCTACGGCAGATAAAGTATGTGGATGGACGAAAGGAAAGTGTAGGCATGGTGAGACGTGGTGGTGGGATGAAGATATAAGAAGGGTTTTGGAAGTCAAGAAGGAGAGGTTTAGGGTATGGAGAAGGGACATGACGGAGGAAGCGGAGTCTGAGTATAGGAAGGCTAAGAAGGTTGCAAAATAGGCAGTGGCAACTGCAATGACGAAAGCATCAGATAGGTTAATGAAGGAAATGGAATTTGATGTGAGTTCGAGGAAAATGTTCAAAGTAGCAAAGCAGTCAATGAGGGATAGGAAAGATGTTATAGGGAATGGATGTGTTTGGGATGGATCTGGCAAGTTGTGCATAGATGAGGAGGAAAAAGCTCAGGTGTGGAAAGCTCATATGGAAAGGTTGATGAATGAAGAGAATGAGTGGGATGGAGATGTGGAATCCGCGGTCACACACGGACCTATAGAGAAGGTGACGATGGAGGAAGTAGAGAAAGCAGTTAGAGAAATGAAACTAGGTAAGGCGACAGGGGTTTCGGAAGTGGCGGCAGAACATATTAAAGCGAGTGGGGTGATAGGAATTGAAGTTATGATGAGAATTGCTAACAGTATGTTTGATGATGAAGGTATACCTGAGGATTGGTGACACAGTGTGTTGGTGCCGTTGTATAAGGGCGAAGGAGATGTGAGAGATTGTGGGTCATACAGGGGTGTGAAATTACTAGAGCACGGAATGAAGGTAGTGGAGAGGGTGCTTGGGAGGAGGTTGAGAAGTATGGTGACAGTTAATGAAATGCAGTGTGGGTTTATGCCCGGTAGGGGAACGGTGGATGCGTTGTTCATGGTGAGAATGTTGCAGGAGAATTATAGAAAGAAGAAACGAAGATTGTACATGTGTTTTGTGGATCTAGAAAAGGCTTTTGATCGAGTACCAAGGAAGGTAATTGAATGGGCGTTGAGGAAGAAAGGAGTGAATGAGAGACTTGTTAAAGCTGTGATGCAGCTGTATGAAGGGGCAAAGACAAAGGTGAGGGTTGGAAGGGGGATGTCGGACGCTTTTAGTGTTAAGGTAGGAGTGCATCAAGGATCAGTGTTATCACCGTTTCTGTTTGCAATTGTGATGGATGTTGTGTGTGGAAACATAATGGAGGGGTTGTTATTTGAGATTTTGCATGCAGATGATTTAGTCTTGATGGCTGATAGCATGGAAGAATTGCAGTTAAAATTTGACAGATGGAAAAGTGTTATTGAAAAGAAAGGGTTAAAAGTTAATATTGGTAAGACGAAGGTAATGGTGAGTGGGGAAGGTGGGGAGCGAGTGATAAGTAAAATAGACCCCTGTGGGGTATGTGATAGGAGAGTGAAGGCTAACTCGGTATTGTGTATAGGATGTCAGAAATGGGTGCATAAGAGATGTAGTGGTGTGAGGGGGGCACTGAAAAAGGTGGAAGGCACGTTCAAATGTAAGAAATGTGTTCATGGTGTGATTAATAGGACGGACGCAAGGACGGAGTTGAGTGGTGGTATTGAAAGAGTGGAAAGCTTTGTCTACTTAGGGGATAAGCTGAATGCGGATGGAGGATGTTTGAGCGCAGTTACGGCTAGAGTTCGTGTGGGATGGATGAAATTTAGGGAACTGGGTAGGGTATTGTGTGGAAAGAAATGGTCAGTGAAGATGAAAGGGAGGGTATATAAAGCATGTGTGAGAGCAGCGATGGTATATGGTGGTGAAACTTGGGTGTTGAGGAGAGAGGAGGAAAGTGTACTGCAGAGGGCTGAAAGAGCTATGGTGAGGATGATGTGTGGGGTTAAAGTGAAGGATAGGAGGAGTAGTACAGAGCTGATGTCAATGATGGGACTGAATGAGGACATTGTGACATTGATAAGGAGATCGAGATTGCGGTGGTATGGACATGTGTTGAGAAGGGATGAAAGGGTCGGGATTAGGCGAGCGTTGGAGTTCGAGGTTGAAGGAGTGGTAGGGAGGGGTCGTCCGCTTTTGGGATGGAGAGAGCAGGTGGAGAAGGACAGGGTGAAAGCGGGGTTGCGTGATACTGAGGCGAGTGACAGATGTGGATGGCGTCGAGGGGTATTTCGGTTTCATCATAGGTAGCCAAACGGCAACCCCCGATCTCGGGGAAAATGCCGTCTAAACGTGTGTTGTTGTTGTTGTATTCACATAGAGAAAAAGTTCATTTTGAATGTTTCTAATGCTCCTAATTTCTAAAACAACAACTAACATATTTCATCATACTATCAAGTGTCCACGTGCCTTTTGGTGAAGCAGTTGCCGTTTTCCGTCACGAAGGATAGACTTAAAAAAACTTTCATGAAATCCGTCAGTGCTCGAATAGTTTTAAATCCTGAAACAAAAATATCTCGAGGGTATTTTTTTAAAACAGTTTAAATCTCAGCTGATTTTTTAGACTAGTCTGTATGTAGTGAATAAAAATTTATATGTTTATATTGAAACACAAGGTTTGGTTTTGTTGAATTTGAAAACGAGAAAGATGCAACAGATGCCATGAATGCAATGCAAGGCAGAGATCTGGACGGAAGGAAGATGGTCATTTCTGCTGCTTTGAAAAAGTCCACTCCTAGTAGGAAAGAAAGAATGGCCAACAAAAAGAAGGGAAAAGAAGAAAAACTGAAGAAAATGTTAAAAAGTGAAGAATTTCAAGATGATATGGGGAACTAATGTATTTTTTTAATTCAAACAGTTTTAATTATATATTAGTGCGTGTATGGGTGTGTGCGCGCTTAAAAGTGTGACGTGTTAATGCGTATTTAGAAATTTTTAATTTACTGCATTTTTTAACCAATAAATGTGTCTGTAATCCTTTTTCATGTAGACTTCTGTGTTTTTAAATAATTTGTTGATGCAATACCTTATCAATTTATTTAAGAACAAATTATGAAACGTATTTTGTATTGCCAATGACACTGAGATATTGTTTGAAGAAACAAATCCGAAAGCTCTGAGATTCATTGATTTCAAGTCCAAGCTGAGATTCGTTACCTCTGCATTCTGACAAACAATTACAATAACTTCGATGATACATGCATCTATGCGAGTATCAATGAATAACACTGCATTTAAACACTAGTTTCTTATTCGACTAATTTGTATTATGTATTGCCATTTTATTTTCATGTTAAAACTAGATCACTTACGATGCGTAAAATACAATTACTTGGCTTGCGCTGGATGTACGTACGTACATTATTCCTACATTTATTTATTTTTTTTAAATTTAAGGTGTCATTCAATTCAAATCTTAGGGAACAACTTTAAATTTTTTTTATAGCTTACCTTAGGTTGGGCCGGTCTGTCTGTTGCTTGGCGCATTAACTTTTAAACGTTTGTGTTTGTGGTGAGGATAATTGTGTTTCTAGCTTTTTTAACAAAAATTATTTCCCTGCTGTTTTGTCAAAGAATGCGTATGTTTTATTAATTTTAAGTTGTTTGGTTCCTAGAAAGAGAACCAACTCTTTCTGAAATAATGTTTTGCTATTATTGAATTTTTCATCAAACAATAAAATATTCAACTTTTTTTATTTACAGGTTTTACGAGAAATATTACAACTTATTTTAGAAATTTTAAATCTCCAAAATTTTTTAAAACATATGCAAAATATTTTACAACCTGTGATAAAAATGAAAATGATGAAAATAAAGTGTGATCCAGTTCTTAACCTTGAAAATTAATACACCTCTAAATTCCAACTGTATAACTTTTGCGAACCATTTACCACCATGGAAAATGGAAAAAATGTTAGGAAGAAGCAGCTTGACGATTCAATTCGCAAGCTCATTTGTCAAATGTACGACCAGAGACATGCGTAGATATTGCAAAGTTACTTGGTTTAGAGTATTCGAGAGTCATTACTGTATTCCGGGCATATGCCTCAAAAGGCCGAATGGACTCGCTTAAAACGCAGCGTCCAAAAGTTACGAAGTTAACTTATGATATTAATGAAGCTATTCTTTCGCACGTCACAGAAGATTGTTCAGTAACGCTGAAGGCCATACAGCAGAAGCTTGCTGAAAACAGAGGCGTGTCGGCTCGTTGTTCATCAATATCGAGAGTACGCGTTGCAGCTGCACGCTATAACCAAAAAAATTTATTGACAAGATATGAATATGCTTTGCAGTTTGCGAGGGTTGCTGAGCGTCCAATATTTTTTCTAGACGAAATTGGCCTCCAGTTTACAATGCGACGAAAACTTGGCAGAACACCAGTAGGTGCAACACCTTGTGAAACTGTTCCTTGTGTGCTGTCAAAAAATTTCCATTTCCGCTGCGATATCATGGGACGGGTTATACTATTTTTCTGTGTTCAGAAATGCCTTTAACATCGAAAAGTATTTTATGTTTCTAAATCAATTTTTAGAACAATTTGAATCGGAATCTATAGAAAATGCGGTGTTGATTATGGACAATTGTTTTTTTCACAAAATTCATGCTGAAATTGAACAAGCCGAGCACATGCTATTTTTATTTATACCATATAGCCCGCACCTAAATCCAATCGAGGAAGTCTTTTCTAAATGGAAGAATGCAGTCAAAGCACGAAACCGTGCAAACTAGTCAAAGCTTATGACCAGTGTTATGGATTGTAGCCAGGAAATCACACCTGATGACTATAGAAACTATTACAGTCAAATGAAAGATTTCTTGGATAAGACATAACGTAGAAAACTGTTTGAATGAGGAAAAATTCATTTATTTCCAACATTTAACCTAAATGAATTGTTGAATTATAAATGTAAAACATTTTATATATGTTGTAAAATATTTTGGAGATGTTGCAAAACAAAGTGTTCATAAATTGGTATAATATCAGAATTGTTAACATGCAACTGTTATATAAATTACCTATATTGCCAAAACACAAATGTTTATTAAGGTATAAAATCGAATAATTTATTTTACGACTTATGGTGCTATATTCTAAACGTACCACTCCTGGTCTTTTCGATGACTTTTTGATGTTGCTGTGTTACTTTTTCCTGACACCTTCCCACTCAAAGATTTATTTGACCCTAGACCAGTTTTTGAATAAGTGCAAATTTCGTAACCTCCGTAGTTTCGAGTTTCTTCAATTTTATACGTTCCTTCGTTGCGTGTGCGGCAGCGCCGTGTAGCGACGATGGCAGCAGCGATAATTGCCGAAATAATGAGCAAAACTGCTATTAATGTAATGATGATGATTGGAATGGATATTCTCTCCCATAACGAGTTTCGCTTGCTCGTGTTAGCCACCTCAGATGTATTGGAACTTAAGGCATTCGACCTTCGAGACGGCGATGAAGTTGCGTGACCATGTTCGAGGTCAATGACGAGATCGAAAGGGAGGGGGTGATTAGAGGGAATTGTGCTGAAACTCTGGCTGTCGTCGTTTGAAGGCACTAACGATTTGCTTAATTTGCTGTTTTCGTCTTTTTCAAATAAGGTTTTGGAAAAGTTGAATTGTGTGGAATCTCGTGGTGGAATTTCTTTGCTGCAATCTACATGCTCGTCATCAGCATCACTTCCATCATCACCTTTCTTATCGAAATAAAGAGTACTGTTGATATCTAATTCGTGCTTAGAATCGCAGAGTACCATCTTCCTGTTGAATAAATTTTTGATGAAAAATGTTGTTAAAAATCTAAAAAATACAAACAATAATTTTTTAAATTAAAAAGATGAACAGATAGAAGTGAAATTAACCCACGCAGACCTAGGTATACAATTATAAAGGACTTGACGAAATAAAACGAGAATCTACGTGTCTAATCTTTTAAATAAAATTAAACGTCAGTCGACAACAACCTCTTGTCATTCGTTGTCAATCACGAATCTTACACACCTCTACTCTCAATACAGATAAAAAGTCCTTAAGGTTTTTTTTTACGCACACACCCGTCATCTTTATGTTTGCGCATTCAGTAATGGACATAATAGACACACAAACACACAAACACACACACATTTACATACATATAATTTTACACAAACATACATAGAATATTACACACGCACGTACGCACGCACACACACACACACACACAGAGTCACATAAACATTCACACACATATAATTATACACAGACACATGCACGCACGCACTCTCGCACATGGATAAAGGAATAAAGCATGTAAGGCTTTACGATAATGAGAACGTAGTTCAAGCAGCATTTAAGATCTACCAAGGATATGAATTAATCACCTCTCTTAATTAAAATTTTTTTTATTTATTTACTTTATAAAAATTTGTAAATTTTATAAAGTGGTGACTATTTAGCAACAAATGAATCTTCCTGAATATATAAAAATATTAAACAAAAAGCAAATTTTATTTTATTGATCTGAAATTATCGAAAAATTTATTATGTAAATTATGTAATAAAAACAAATTATGTAACATTTGAAGTCTAACAAGACTACTAACTCTTTATTATCTGATTTGTTTTCCAGGCACCTTTCTTTCCACCGACAGCGAATTCGTCTGTTGGGCTGATATGAAAATTAAATATTTGTGGTTTTTGTTACGAGATATTTACAAATGTTCATGATTGACACTGTTAACAGTTGTGGCAGAAGCGAAATTTGTATATGACGTAAACTTTGGCTCGATTTTAAGTAAATCAGGCGTGCGTTGTTAAGCTGCCTAATCTTAGAGATGCTGTATTGTCAAACATTATCTTCGTTTTTGACTAAAATTTAATAAACTATGCTAACATGCTGGACGATCGTGTGAGGCTATAAACAAAACCACACAATATAATTTAACGCTTAATTAAAATGTAGTTTGATAATATGGGATGGCTTATGTGCGTGTGTGTATGCATGTGTGCATGTATGTGCATGTCTACTCATGTGCGTGTGTTTGCATGCCTGTGTATGGGCGTTTGTAAAGAACTACAGAAGCAATTATTTAAATTTTAAGTATAAACATGTTTATATTATTTTCAGAAAAGTTTTGCGAAATATTAAAAAATAATTGTATTTTTTCTTTTGGACTTTTTTTAAATATATTTCCTAAACTGTTTTGTCGGTTTTAATCTTCTGGGCCATTGTTGATTTTAATTTTGTTTTTAGAAATGATCCTTTCAAAGCAGCACCTAGCGCGTGGTAAGACGAATAAAACACTGAAAATGCCATTAGACCCATCAGTTTCGATTATCAATTCTGGAAATAATCTGATAAAATTTAGATAAAAAGCTGGTTTCAGATTTATAATTTCAACCTACTTTTTGCCATCTTTTTTTGTCTTCTTACTAGGAAATTTCCGTTATTTTTTTAATTAACTTCTCCTAAGTTCAAACGAATAAAAATATCTAGAAATTTTTATATAGATTGTCCTGTTTCTGAAAAATATTTTTCAGGCTGAATGAAGGAGCAGCTAACGATGAAATAAAAAACATAGGAATGTCTGCATCATAAAAAGATCACGTGATGTGCACTGTGTACCGCAGGAAGAAGAACTTTATGGCACGCCGATGGTCTATTGAAAGATTTTATGGTCATTGTACATTTACACACAAGACAGGCATGTTAAGGTCGAAAGCAACATTTGCGTCAGCACATGAAACGTCGTCAACAATTACTGAGAAATAAATTGCGTTTATTACGGTAGGAACATTACCAGCGGTAACAAATGCAATGCACACAACATCCATGAAAACTACACACACGGCAGCGTACTTTTCAGGCTGTTGTTCAAACTGAATAGTTCTGTTTTATTTCACTATGAAAAAATTTATTTTTGGCGGTCAGTTATTTTTTAGCGTTAAAATAAATTGCACACTATCTTTATTTGAAATTTTTAATTGAAGCAATCGTTAGTTTATTTCAAAGGGAAACTGTTTTCTATTCCGTTTCTACCATCAAAATTGTTATGGCGGTTTCGGATGAACGATCGTCATCAACGATTACAAATAACGTGTTCGACGACCTCAAACACAAACTACAAAACAACATTTCATTTCTATAGCGATAACAAATACAACAGTTATTATTATTCAATGAATTTTTCCAATTATGATGAACAATGAACTTGAAGAAAGGTATCTTCACACACGTGCAATGAACTTTAGAATCATTTCACATAGAGAACATCATACACTTGTGTTAATTCTTTCATAATATGATGAAGCATGAAGCCAAATATGCTGAACATTTAATCGTTTAGTAGTGTGTGAAATTTTTCAGCTTTAGCCATTGTAATGGCAGTTTAAAAAAATTAAACCTTTCACAAGAACGCATTGATTAACGCGCATTAACATGAGTTGAAACTTTTAAAATGTGCTGGACCAGGGAGATTTTCAAGAAAGTATCATGTAGCTACACACGAACCTAAACAACATTTGTAACTCTCATAAACAAATCCAGCAGGATCTCCCATTGTATATTTTTGAATGACGTCTGCAATTTCTGGGAAAATCGTAATTTTTTCTCACGATTCACCGAGATTCGTTCTCGACATTGTTGGTAAGGTGAGGTAGCAACCAGCTTCAATGGTAGAACCGAGAGGTAATCCGGCGAAATTTAATCATCATAAAAATTATTCCTAAGGATATTCATATACAATTTTGTACGTATATTGATAAATAAGTACATATATAAATTTATATACACACGTATATACAGCCCATACATACATTTGCACAGACATGCATACATACACACACATACATACACACACACCACACACACACACCCATACACACACACACACATACATACACACATACATACACACATACATACGCACCTACATACAACAGGATGAACAAAAAAGACTGCATAACCGCATTAGGACACAAGCGTGATGCATTGTCTCGTGTAGGAAGAGAGGCTTGCGTGGTGCGGCCGTTTAACAATTTTTTAAACAAAAATTTGTTCCTTTATCTGTTTTATTTTATTTTTATGTGTTTTATTTATAAAAATTTATTCAAAAAAATAATTAACTAGTAAAAATTAACGGTTAAATAAATAATTAATTCTTTATTTATTGCTTGGCAATAGGTTTGTTGCATAGAAGAGATGAATAAGTAATGAACGCTGACCCTAATGCAAAATAGGAACGTCATAGAACGAATCATAAACATCACAACTTTACACACACACACACACACACATCCATCTGACATCATGAGCTCGCATTGATAGCTGCTCGCCGTAGAATCGGCACTTGTTGCTAGTTATTTTTGGTTTGATTGTAGTCTATGTTAGTTTGTTGTGGATAAGTAACTGTTATTTAAGTCAAAGAAGCTGATGAAGTGTGAAATTTTGAATGGTGAACTGTTGTTGATTTAAAGTTGTTTTATTATTTTGTAAAGTAGCGTCGAGGCTGTTTGTTGTTGTTGCTGGTAGTGAAACATCGTTGAAGTTATTGCATACGTTGGCTCATTATTTGCTTTTTGTATGACCAATGTCCGTTTCTGTGTATTTTTTCTGCCATTTTATTACTGCATTGTTGTCATGTCATGTGTCCTGGTGTGGTGAGTTGTTTCATGGCAAAATATAAACAAATATTGAGAAAAAAACAATTCGTTTGGTGTTAAATTTTGTTAAATGCTAACAAAATACACGGTGAATCGATAGCAGAAAACAAATTTTTTTTAAATCTTAAAATTTTGTTTGATATAATGAAAATGGACAAATTTCAACTGTTGTTTTTTGCAATGAAGTGATTTCATTTGAAATGAAGTGATGGTGAGCATATACAACTGAAATTTAATAGCGTTTACAACATTTAACAGTGTCAGAAATTTTTATAGGTTAACCTTCTGGTATGTTTTTAATATATGGTATAGTTTTACACGATCGATTGATTACATGATGCTTTTATAAAATTTGTGGCCACTTCTTCCCTCTTCTACCATTTACTATTCAAAGATGTTTTGTAACAGTCGACGATGTGTTATGTTTCCTAATATTCATTTAAAAGTTTCTAGATGTTTTTTAATAGTAATAAAATTTTTTTTGTGAGAGCATCTGCGTCGGAAAACGATCATTCACTCGCTTTTTAAAATTTCCACGTCCCCTTATGCGATGTAAAGGTTTGGCCATTTGACCGGGAAGGATATACAAACGGACCGAACAAATTTTTGGGTCAAGAGACACAATGATTATTTTTTTTAATTTAAAAGTTTTGCTAAATTGCAAAAATTCAATTTTCAATTCATAAAAAGGTGAAACTCAACAATGTGTCCAGAATTACCTCCGGCAGGTTTTTCGCTTGTTTGATTTTCAATTGAAAAGTTTGAGTTTTTTCACTTTAAAATTAGATTTCGACAGATGAAAAATAAAGTAATAAATAAAATAAAATATTACATTAAATTAATATTTTTTTATAAATTTGAATTTACAAAATAGTTTAAAATATTTTTAGTTCGTTAATAAAATTTAAAATTTATTTTCATAGTGCAGTTTTCTTCCGTCACGTTCAGCACAGTTTCTCGATAAATTTTGAGTTCCGCTCTTAACTTCGCACGCGGTGGAGAAGTAGTAAGAAAAGAAGGGAGAGGGTACTCTAAAAGAAAGGACCCGGAAAAGAAAAAGAAAGCTCAGCCTGAGTAGCCGGAGAGTGTTTGACGGGAATAAAAAAGCGACAATCAGAAAACGATTGTAGCAGACAAGAGTTATTAGGTTTAGTTGAAATGTTAGAAAAATGAAACATAAGGGGAAAGAAATTAAATTAGAATTAGTACATTAATGTGCAAATTTTAAAATTATTTTAAACTTTTTAGGTAGTCACTGCAGGAGAAATCGTTAGAAAATAGAAGGAGATAGATTAAATAATAACAAAACACTCATTAATCTATGTCATTCATTTCACGATCAGTGCCGCGGAATGAATCGGATCTGGTGAACAAAATACTTTGAAACGTTATTATTATGAAATAATTTTTAGGTGGATGTATTTTCCTTTAAATCGAATGAAAGTTAAGTGGATAAATTAAATTATGTTGCTTACAAACACCAACCACACCAATCTACATCACTGTCGATCCAATCAGTCAATGAGTTTCATGTTTCGTGTACATCCGAGTATGTTGTTCATCGTTTGTTGCGTTCAAACTTTCAAAACAGAAAATATAAACAGACACTTCTGCATGGAAAAAACCATCCATCCCGAACTACTTACGTACTCAAGTTTGAGGAAGCATGAGTTTTTTGTGGGTATCACATTTTTGAATACACTAATTTTATTGCATATCAAATTATTTCAGTGCACAATGTCTTCCGAGTCTATCAGTTATTTTAACGCACATGCGTTCCGGGCGTATCAATTTTTTCTTCAACCTAATAATTTTTACATACAATTTTTTTAATATTTTTTGGCATGTAAACATTGTTTTTTTTTACATCATAAACAACTGGGCATGTTGTAGCTACTATTCGATAGTTACTATTATATTTAATGCATACGTGTGTTCTCCAGGTTTTGATGATATTACTAGACTAGATATTGCTATTATGTTTTGGTGATGATGATGTATTGTTGCCGTTGTTGGTGCTCTGCTGTTGTCAAGAATACAAGAAAATTTATATATGAGATGATTACGTTTCAAAAGAGGACTATTGCGAGGTAGGCAATTATTCAAAATTAAAAGGTTAATTGTTTTGTAGTTTTTGTAAAAGATCCTTAATTTTACTCTATCGTTCGGGTTTGTTGGTTTAATATTATTATGGGTTATCTTCTTCATGATCTTTTCATTAGTTTTGTAGAACGAAGACATGACAAAAATATCATCAACATATCTTGTGTAGATGTTGGGTTTAAGTTCGTGATGCTGCATTTAATCAATCAATCAATTAGTTTATAAAGCGCTATTTTCGCGATGTTCAACAGCGCTCCTCAATGAATTTTGCAAACAGATGCAGATGTGTCTTAAGATCCGTTCTGAAATTTGTAAGTGATAGAGAAGTAGTCAGAGAAGGAGGTTGAAAGTTACTTGCTCTAGATTACCTAAATAGAAATTAGCGAAGAAAACGCCTAAAGGAGATCCCATGGCAATTCCGTGAATCTTTTTATAAAGTTTACCAGTGGGGCTGATGAAGGATGCTTCTGTTGTACAAATTTCTAATAATTGTTTTAAATATTTTTTTGAATTCTTAATGGTGAATATTGCGAATTATAAACTGTTTCAGTTATAATGTCGGTAGTATTTTTGACAGGAACATTTGTGAAAAGGGATTCGACCTCAAGTAATGCGATATGTTTGGATGATGGATTGGTATTTAATATATCAATAAACTCTTCTGATGATTTAAAATTGTAATTGTCTGGAAGATATGGTAGAAGTATTTTGTGAGTATTTTAGCAATCGGATATGTAACGGTAATGATCGGTCTTAGAGGATTATTGGGCTTATGAGTTACAACGTTGTCTTACAAGTTGGTACTCGTCGGTGAGAATAGAAAATTTGTTATCGCTTACGTATTTATTTATTTGTTGAACTATTTCCGCGATGATCAAGAGCGCTCCTCAACGAATTTTGCAAACAGATGGATCTTGAGATCCGCTCTGAACTTCCTAAATGATGGAAAAGTAGTCTGAGAAGGAGTTAGAGAGTTCCAGAGAAAAAGAGCAAAAAAAGCAAATGCAAATTTAGCAAAAGAGTGTTTAAGACGAGTTAAAAAAAAGTGAGAACAAGAAAACGATTATTAATTGTTTAGGTTCAATTAATATATCTAAGTACTTAGGAAATAATTTCGATTGAGACTTATACATAAATGTGCAAATTTTAAAAGTTATTCTATAATTTAAAAACATATTCAAATTTTCTAAAATCTGAAAATCAATTGGTAAACTTAGCATGCAACTCTTAAATATTATCTAAATGTGTATGTGAAAATTTAATTAAAATTACTACAACACACAAAAATTATTATAACTTTTTTCAATCAGCTTTGGTGTATAACGTACAATACGGTACTATTTGCAAGCTACTAAATTTTTTTAGCATAAAAGATTTCTTGAGCAAGCAACATGCATCATTAACTTGCTAAAGTTGCTGCTGTTGTTGTCCTGACCAACTTTTCAATCACTACACGTTTTGAAAGTATGAACCAGTGCTTAATCTAAGGTCTTTCTCCACTGCCCAAACCACAGACATCGTGCAACGTAAATGATTTTCGCGTCCAAAAAACCACGTTAAATTTTGCAATCGCCGATTAAAAATAATCAAATATTTCTTAGCTAAATTGCAACGTTATTGTCTCAATCGATTATGTTTTATAACTTGCAATTGCGAATTTTAACCTTTACGCTGGTAAACAGATGTTACTTCAGCGCGCTATGGTTATGGCACGTCGCCTGTGCCCTAAACTTCAATTTATTTTTCTATTTATTACTTATATTTCCACAACGCAAATCAGACGTTTGACGTATACTGTATCAAATCAATCAATCAATCATGTATAAACTATTATTAACGTTCAGTCGTACGCTTGTACTTCGCAAGTTCTTCATACAGTTCTTATTTAAATTCCTATGTTCCTTTCTTCGTACATTAGTTTTAGTACGTAACTGGCATTTATTCATTGCCTCAGTTAGTGTATGTAATTGTAAGAACAAAATAATTTTAGCTACATTATTCGTTTTATTACAGCCCACAACTTCACATTTTGACTGCCTAGGGTACCTTTTCCCACTGCCCAAAAAGTTTTCCAACTACAAATTTTGGGTCCAGCCAGCTGCCCATTACAATAAGGTCTGGTATAAACTAATACATCTGAACTTCTCAATCTTAAACTCAAGTGTATTTTGTTAGGGACAAAAATGCAAAAACACGTGCAAATGATTTCAACCACACAAACACACACAATTAAATGAAATTAAATAACGATTCGACATTTTAAGTTGCAGACACGTAGCCCAGACCGGCATTACATTTTTATATTCATCTCAAGTTACTGGTTATTTTATACGTCATTAGTACAGACCTTTTCATGTTCCTCGTCCTTTTCATTTTCTTCTAGCAATGAGGACATTAAATTTTTTGTGGACAATTTTTTCATGAATCTGAAATAATTGAATTAATTTTACCAAAAACATTGACTATTAATTATCACTAACATAAGAAGAAATTAAAAAAACTATAAAAAAACATACGGTTAGCTCCAAAGGTGGACAAACAATGCAATGAAATGCTGGATGTGCGAAACCACAAAAATTACAACAGACAAAAACATTAGTACAAAATTCGGAGAACATTGTCAAAGGAGAAATATAGAACGTTACATCAACTTAACAAAAACCACTCACTCCTTCGATAAATCTGCCTGCGAATTCTTTTCATTTCTGACCGTCATCGTGACGTCACCTTCAATTTTCACTCTCCAATCGCCTCTCGACATCAACTCGCCCACATTTACCCCATCGTACCACAATCCTCTAACCCCTCCCACAAATCCTCTGTTCACCTGACCTTTGCTCTCTCGTTTCCCGCCAATCATGATCTGACTCACCTGGTTGAAGACGCCAATCTGACGACCTAAGTGGGGGAAACATCGGGAGAACAACGTGATGAAATGTAGGTGCGTTGCTGTTGCCGAGATGAATAAAAGTGAAGATGGACATCGTTGAAAAGATGGAACGATTTAAGATGTTAACGTGAGGCATTTTAAAGTTTCAGTTACTTTTAAACCAACTGCATCACCAACGAATAAACTTGAAAGCGTGTAAAACTATATGCAAATTTTTTTAATTTTTAAATAAAAACTTGTAGGTTCAGACCTATATAATTAAAGTTATTCTTGGTGATCAATAACTTGAAAAAAAACTAAGAAAGCAAACCGGAAGGAGTTTTGAAGACCGGAGACCAATCATCGATCTGCATACTGACGTTCAAACTTGACCTATATATTTTGATCACGTGGTATAAATTGTCGTTGACCTTTCTGCTGAAATCTCCGACAACGTGGTCTACGAACCCCATGTTGTAAACTGCTAACACCTTTCCATCCATCTGCAAATTGATGGAGAGATGGTAGGTGGTGGAGTGCGGTGGATGAGTGGATGGTTGGTGATGAAGAAGTAGTAAATAAAAAAAATGCAGGAGGGATAGATCTTTTTCAAGTTATTTCAACTTAATAAAAGTTGTTTCCAGTTTAAAAGTTGAAACTTTTGTTTATTGTATCATCTTATTTTTTAACAATTTTTCTTGTTGTTTTTGTTGATTTTAAACTTAAATTTGAAAGATATGCAGGTTTGTTGAACTTTAAAAAAGTTAAAAATTAAAGTTTTGTTATAATTGGAATTTGTTGTTATCACCAAACAAAACACTGAACACAAAAGTGACTGAAGTTTCTCGTAATTTAGCTGCAAAGTTTCTTCGAAGTTGAAAGCAAGCCAAATGTGTGCATTAAAAATTCTTTCCAGAGGTTTAGTTTTATTTAGTTTCACCGATGAATCTTGCTTCCCACATAACTAAGAAAATAATTTCATAATAAAATATAAAGGATAATTTAAACGATACGAAAATAATAAAACAATTATTATTAATAACATTATTCGTTTATTATGAACAAACAATAAATTTGTTACATATTTGACATCCCCAACAACAGCTCTCTAATTATTTAATTAAGATTCACATGTTTATTTTGATTGATGCCAGCATTCTTTAATATCTTAATTTTTTTTGCGTAATTTATATCGTAGGGACAGCATCGTGTGTTAATGTGTGTGAGTGTGATGTGCGTGTGCGGTGTGTGCGCGTGCGGTGTGTGTGTGTGTGTGGTGTGTGCGTGTGTGTGAGTGTGTGTGTGAGTGTATGTGAGTGAGTGTGTGTGTGTGTTGCAGGAATTAATGAAAACATATGAAGAAAAAAAACAGAGACGAAGTGCGACTGAACACATGTGCTCATCAGTCTTATCAAAACTTCAGAAGAAAACTACCGTGAACATTTCGTTGAAATGAATCAGGAGGTACAACAAAAAGCAATAACGGAGCACAACTGTGATCGACGGGAGGTGTCTGATGATGATGATGATGTTACTGCCGATGTTGTTGATGATGTTGTTGTTGATGTTGTTGTTGTTGATGTTGTTGTTGTTGTTGATGTTGTTGTTGTTGATGTTGTTGTTGATGTTGTTGTTGTTGTTAGCTTCGATGTGTTATGATTGACTAATACTATATTTATTATTTATAATTAATATTTCAATTAAATTTTTGGCGGACCTGAGTCTGACATCTCTTGAATGAATGAATGAATGAATGAATGAATGAATGAATGAATGAATGAATGAATGAATGAGTGAGTGAATGAATGAATGAATAAATGAACGACCGTTGATATTTCACAAATCTTTCGTTAGAGTTTTATTTAAATCGCAGAAAGCTGAAAAATTTGGTTTATATATACTGGCTGTTAAAAAAATTATGACAATAATTTGAATTTATTCGCCTGTACATAAACGAGAGGGAGCAAGCAATACATATGCATCAATAGATGGCAGAGGCAGATAGATAGCTGATATGCATTACATATATAAGTTGGTTTATTTGCCTGACATTTCTTATTTATTACCCGTTTAATGAAACTTTTTTATCCTATATATATATTTGTATGTGTAACCTATATATATATATATGTATGTGTAACCTATATATATATTTGCATGTGTAACCTATATATATATATATATATATATATATATATATTTGTATGTGTAACTTATATATATATTTGAATGCTCCAGTCGATCTTTTTATGTGTGTTTGTATGTGTAACCTATATACTATATATATATATTTGTATGTGTAACTTATATATATATATATATATATATATATATATATATATATATATATATATATATATATGTATATATATATATATGTATATATGTATATTTGTATGTAAGTATGTGTGTGAGTGTGTGTGTGTGTGAATGCTTATCAATTTTCTACATCTAATTTACTGCATTTTGTGCAATTTCATTTAAAAACTAAATACCCAAACACTAATTTGTATATATATATATATATATATATATATTATATATATATATATATATAATATATAAATTTATATATACATATACATATATATATAATATATATATATTTATTTATACATATGTTAAGAAATATTACTGCATTTTTAGCTTTGATCAGTTTCTGTTTCAATTTTTAAATATTTCGTATAGAACTTTCATCCTCGTATTTTAACTTAATTATATAGAAAATAAAACTTTTAACTACTTTTTTTTATTTATTTTTATCTTACACAGAAAAGCTTTTTTTCGGTAACAGTTTACCTTTTTCAATGTAGTATGTTATCGACTGTTGGAAACATTTTTCATCATTAATTTTTAAAAGTATTTTAACGGATATTTTAGTTCGGTTGTGGCTTTAATAGGATCATTTTGAGTTTATGTTTCTTTCAAAACAGTTCAAACGAATATTTCTTGATAAAGATTCTTTGAAAATCAAAATAAACTTGGAGTTTCCGCTTGATATAAAATGCAAAAAATGAAATTCTTATAACATTTATGAATATAACGTAAAATTAAATAGTAAAACCTGATCAGATAATTGTTGATAAAAAACTTTCATGTGAGATTTATTTAGTTGTTGTAGCTGCCTTACTATCAACGTAAAACAAACTCCCAAAACTGCCACCACCATTCCAACTGAAGAACATAAAATTTATATTCAGGTGTAAACATTTTATTGAAAGGGTGATGTCGCCGTAAAATATGCAACCTACATTTTATTATAGATATAAACTCGACTGAATTTCAGAATTATGGATTTAAAGGATTTTACAAAGTGCGAGGGCGGAAAGATTTTTTAGAAAAATTTAATGAGCTCTCCCATGTAAGTCATCACAAAGTTGTCATCATAATTAACTTCAGCATCCACGTTTGTAAAATTTTATCTTCTTTCGTTATTTTTATGTGTTGTTGATGATTAAAATAATTTCAATTAGAACAAGTCTTGAAGAACTTAATACTAAGCAGTTAAGCATCGTCTTTCTGTTAAGGCACATGATTTTTAAAATCGAAAGATTTTTTCAAACGCTTCTTCAGTTCAGTGGTCAATATTTTTTTTTGAAACAGTCGCACATTTTTTTTATAACAATACTAATTTGAATGTTTCAATATTATTACTACTACTACTACTACTACTACTACTACTACTACTACTACTACTACTACTACTACTCACTACTACTAGCCGTATGTTGCAACTTCTACTACTACTAACTTCTAAATGCTACTACTACAAACCTCACCAAATTTGACACAAGCACACTGGCAACCTGAACGCAGACACTGCCACAACAGCAACAACAAGAAGAAACGCAAGACCACAGCCACACGTCATCAACCACCGTCTTCCATTCACACGTTTATTATGCATGACGTCATTCATGTTGGGTTACGCTCCAGAATGTAGATTCATTAACATACCCCGGCAATGCTACAATGCAGAGGAGCCATTAACATACCGATTCCTTTGAGAACTCTTTATTTTCTTAGCGAGGTTAAAATTAGATCGCTCGGAAAATCCCAGAAAGGTGAGGGTGAAGGTCGATGAAACAATCAAGTCACGTATGCAAATTGCTGCTGGGTTCGTGTGTTTATGACTCTCGCATGCAATTATAAAAGCTTCTTTCCAGCCTATATTTTCTTCTTTTCTACTTTTTCCAATACTTTTTTTTCCATTTGCTACAGACGCGTTAAGCCTCATTCTCTTATCGATACTTTTGAAATATTCATACAAAAACTTCGGCACACATATTTCATCAGTTGAAAATTTTTACTTTTCTGCATGTTTTTCTGCTCACATTAAAAGTTCATTAGCCGTATGTTTGTCATTTTAAAGTCCCACCCAGATATTTACAGAAAAATAATATGATAGTCGTCACACCATACTAATAATGTTTATTCGTCATTGTTGTTTATAATTATAAACGACACCTCATTAATTATGATGGTCATAAATATTCATGATAACTTCACATGTTTGTTAGATAGGTACACTCGTAGAAATACATCTCCATATTGTCGTCGTCGGCAGTAATGAGATTGCGGCTACCACAAAAAAGCTCCTTATTTGGAGATTTTATTTTATCTTTAGACCCATTTAAAAATGTTATTTTATCTTTGGCTCCTATTTGAAAATCTTTTTATATCTTTGGCATGTTTATCAACAAAACTTATGTGAACGATGAAAGAATGAAATTGCTTTCCAATGGTATAAATTGTATTTAACACTCGATGGCTTGAATTTGGAGATGTTTACATGAAGATGCATGGAGATACATGAACATGAATGGAAGTGCATGGACGTGCATGGAAGTGCATGGAGATGCATAGAGATGCGTGTACGTTTAGAGTTCCTTGAGGATATCAATTACATATTGCGATTCTAAATTAATCTACTCGTTTAATGTCTGCTCTGTTTATTGGGTGCATGATGTGAGAATAAAGTAAATAATGAATTAAGATGAACGAACCTTCTGCATGCACGCGGTCCGGCGAATAATTGAAAGTGATGTTCGCTTATAATAAATGCAAAAATACATGTAGCATAGATTATGATAGCAAATTCCCCCCCTCACCCATTATTTGGTTGTCAACTGAAGTGGATATTTAATCTGAAGAGATGAAGACATGTTTATTTGAAGTGATGCAAGTGTTCTCAATATTACTTTGAATGATTATTTATAAAATAAACTTGGTTATAATTATTCAACTTCCACCACAACGAACCACGCATCAACTAACTATTTCAACTTGGAAGTAGTCGGAAGACTTGCTGCTCGAGATTCTGACCACTACTGCATCTTCCTGCGAGGTTTTGAAGGCAAAGGCCATGCGGTCATCTTTCTCGTCCATGATTTGACCTTCATGAAAGTTGAAGGTCACCAAACCTCCTTTCGCTCCAAATATCATTGCAGGGGATTCTATGAGTTGTTAAATTTTGTGATAAAAATTTCTACTGCTACTACTCTACTACTTTCACTATTATGACTGCTGCTAATACTGCGAATAATCTAACTTTACAACTTAAATGATAAAATAATAATATATATATATATATATTAATATATTAATAATTAAATAATGATAATAAAACAACATTATTTAGCCAATAATAATGCCATTGCATTCATAATACTGTATAACAAAAATTAAAAAATATGCGAACGTTTTAACAATCACGTTTTTAAATGAACATGTTGAAGGAGAGGTACAGGGCATCATCGTTACTTTCATCATTGTACATTTAAATGTCTTCTTCAACCAAACTACAACAAAATTCGCCAAAACATTTTACATATCGACAGCATTATGTTATTACCAACGTTATTATCAGTGCTATCATGGCCCCATCATCATCAACAAATCATCATCAATTCATCATCAACACCATCATTACACCTTATCAACACAACCATTTACATTAACTCATCACCAACATCATCATGCATTATTTAAATGCACCTCCATGCATTTCCATGCACCTCTATGCATTATCACCACAGCAGCATCATCATCCAATTTTTACCACACCATCATCACTATCGATATAACGAGATCAGCACGTCATTTAGCAAACTTCATTCACCGTGGAACAACTAAATTATCTTTTAAAATGTATTCCTTTTTTTCAGAATTTTTTGAGTTAATATTGATGAAAATTGTTAAAAATTTAAATAACTTTTAGGATGCTAAATCTGAATATATATATATATGTATATATATATATATATATATAAATATATATATATATATATATATATATATATATATATGTACATATATATATATATGTGTGTGTGTATATATATATAAAAAAACAATAAGTTTGATTAATGGACGTGTTGGCACTTGGTATTGCTTGGAACAGTTGGTAAAGGTACAATTTCGGACCTGGAAACAAGAAATATGATACTAATAAGAAGATGGTTAGTATTTGTCTGTTGAATGTCAGGTCTATCAACAATAAGGTTGATGATGTCTATGGAATGATTTATGATAGCCTCGACATACTGGTTCTGTGTGAAACATGGCACGGGACCGAAGGTAATATTTCCGTTAGATTAGCTATGCCACCTGGTTGGTTTCACATTTGTGGATTTTGTCAGGCCGCATGACCCTGGTCACGGGAGTTTGGTAATTTATTTTAGAAGTGATTTTAAGTATAAAAAAATAAATCTCCCTTTATTTTCCAAGTTTGAAGCTCTGGCCATCAGATTGAAGATTGGAATTGATCAGTTCTGTTTAATTGCCCTCTACAGACCTGGCTCGGAACAGACGACTTCATTATTCTTTGAAGAGTTGATTTCTATGTTAAAGTTTATTACAATGTCGGAGGCTCATGTCGTACTTATGGGTGATTTTAACATTCACGTTGAAAAGAGGGATAGTCCTTTCACTCTACGACTACATGAGATACTTGATATGTTCCAGTTGGTCAATCATGTTAATCAACAAACGCATGTGTCGGGAGGTACGTTAGACCTAGTAATTTGTTCACAGGATTTTCCAATTCTTGATACTAAGAAACAAATGTCAATCTGATGATGTGGATTATAAATTTGCTCTGTTTAGTGGTGAAATTCATCGAATTTCTGACAATTTAGTGCCTATGCGGGTGATTTATCGTAGGCAGACAAATGCTGCACCTTGGTTTGATGGTGAGTGTAGACGTGCAAAGCGATTCTGTAGGAAGATGGAAAGAATTTATAGGAACTGTCCGGAAAGTGGGCGGAAAAAAAGATGGGCACTCTCATTGATGGCTAAAAACAGACTCTTTTCTGACAAGCGTACGCATTATTGGAACGATGTCGTAAGTAGTAACGTAAATCAAAGAAATCTTTGGGATGTTGCCAATAAAATGTTAGGTAAAAGTTCGGCAAATGATTCATTTAATGATGACAACGCTCTAAACGCTGATCAGATTTTACAATTTTTTGAAGATAAAATTGCTAGGATAAAAGAAACAACAAATGCACATTCTGAATTTCCGCTTCAGAAGTTGAATAAATGCACGTTTTCATGCTTTCCGTTGGTTACTGAAACTCAGTTGAGGGAAACGGTACTCAAATCACCAACGAAATCGTGCAGTTTGGACATAATCCCTACGCATATCTTTAAAAAATACTTGGACTCATTTGTCTGCTTTCTGACGAGTTTTTTAAACCTCTGTTTACGCGTTGGTAAATTTCCTTCTAGCTGTAAGCACGCGATAATTCAACCGATTTTGAAAAAAAGCTAACTCAGATGCAAATGAGGTGAATAATTACAGACCAATATCAAACTTTTCCTTTGTTTCAAAGGTTTTGGAGCGTGTTGTTCTTGATTTCCTGATGAATTATCTAACGACGAACAATTTAATGCCACTCAACCAATCGGCCTACAGGTGCTACCACTCAACTGAAACTGCATTGCTTCATGTCTTGTCAAACATGTTTGCAGGCATGGATGATCGGAAGATATCATTACTCTTCTTTCTCGACATGTCGTCCGCTTTTGACTGTGTTAATCATAACAAGCTTCTGGTAAAATTGCAGAATAATTTTGGAGTTTCAGGAACGGTACTCGCCTGGTTTGAATCGTATCTAACGGGTAGAACTCAGCAGGTTTTGTTTAGCAAAGTCTTATCATCTGTCAAGGGGGTAACAACGGGTGTTCCTCAGGGATCAGTGCTAGGACCAGTTTTGTTTCTACTCTTTACATCGGATATAATTAAAATAATAATGTCGCATGGACTTGTTGGTCATGCGTATGCAGATGACATACAGATAGTTGCTACAGGTCATTCAGAGATATTTCAGCCCGAGATTGATAAACTTGTTGGTTGTTTGATAGAGATTGAACGTTGGATGTTGAGCAATTCCTTGAGGTTGAACCGGGGAAAAACTCAGATGCTTCTTGTCGGTACATGGCAGCAGTTGTCAAGACTTAATATAAGCTCGGTTGAAGTTGGTGACGTTGAAATATCATTTGCTTCTACAGCCTTGAATTTAGGGGTATGGTTGGATAGCAGGCTCTCAATAAAAGATCAAATAAAGTCGCTATCAATTGCAAGTATGATGCATTTCAGAAAATTGTACAAGATTCGACACTATTTGAACAGATCTAGCATGGAAACACTGGTACATGCTTTTATTACACCCAGATTAGATTATTGTAACAGTTTATACTTTCAAATACCTGACAAGTCAATAGCTGTACTTCAGTCTATTCAAAATCGAGCTGCAAAACTTGTCACAAAAAATCTGAAGTTCGATCACGTGACTCCAATCTTGAATGACCTACACTGGCTAAAAACTGAAAAAAGAATAATTTTCAAAATTGCTGTCTTAACGTTTCGGTCATTACATGGTTTAGCACCACAGTATTTGGCAGACATGTTCATCAGAAAAACATCTGTGTTGGGTTCGCAGTTGAGATCAAATGACATGAACCTCCTGGTTGTGTCGACAACGAATTTACAGACCGGATCACGCAATATTGCTGTTGCTGGACCGGTGGTTTGGAACAGTCTACCGGCGTTTCTAAGAAGACCAGATATATCATTGTTTTTATTTAAAAAGGAGCTGAAGACTCATTTATTTTCGCAGATTTAACAATGTCTTTGTCTTCGTTTGATTAATATTTAGTTTTTTCATTTATTTTAGGGAGCGCTTTTGAGATCATTTTTTGTAATTAGCGCTGTACAAATTGACTTGTAATATATATATATATATATATATATATATATATATATATATATATATATCAGTATATATATATACAAGAAATAATTCTACTAGAATTTTTAATGAAATACTTATTTATTTATTTAACCATGTTTGTATTATGCGACGATCTACAAAAGTCAAAATTATTTAAAAAATGTATTTCCAGCTAGATTTTAAATTTAAACACATTTGCCATTGTTCCATAAACATATATTACACTAATTCAATAGAAAAATGAAACGGCCCTATTAAGCGGCTGGCCCCATTAACCAAAGTTGACTTTTTTAAATACATAGGAACAATTGAGTAATGTACAATTGTGAACATTAAAACTATGGTTATAACGAAAGATGCAAATATCTCTCGTCTGAACGATAAAGCATCAGATGGTCATCCGGCTGTTTATATTCTAAAGTTGTTCAAATAAGCTGAGCGCCAGGAAATAAATAACGCTAATAATGAAAATAAAGACAAAAAACAAAAGAATGAATAATAATAATAATAACAACAATAATAATAATAATAATAATAATAATAACAATAATAGTGAAAATAGCACTAATATTATTATGCGAGGTCAGTCTTCTCTGGGACAACAGGCGTTGTTTGCATAGCCAATATTGGGATTAATTTTGCGCGCATGTTTTTGAAAAAACTTATAAAATTTTTTTTGAATTTTTTGTGTAAATGTATTGAATATTAATAACACAATGAATAAATTTGTTTCTTTTTTGGATGTCTTCTTGTTGATGTGTTACAGATATGAAAGTAAGTTTAGGGTTTTGTGATGTCAGGATGTTGTGATGTCAGGATGTTGTGATGTAACGATGTAACAACGTTTTGATGTTTCAAAGTTTTAAGTTTACTAATTATTTTTTTAAAATAATGTTTTATTGAATTGTTTAACATTTTTTACAAATTAAAATGATACTACTACTATTACTACTACTTCTTCTACTACTACTTCTACTACTACTACTACTTTTACTACTACTAACCACACTACTACTACTACTATTACTACTACTACTACTACTACTACTACCACCACCACTACTACTACTACTACTACTGTTACTACTACTAACCCCACTACCACTACTACCACTACTACTACTACTGCTGGTACTATTACTACTACAACAACTTCAACAACAACTACTCATACTACTACTACCACTACTGCTACTACAACTATTACAACAACAACAACAACAACAACAACAACTACTACTACTACAACAGCTACCCCTACTACAACTACCACTACTACTAATAATAATAATAACAAAAAGTACGATGAACGGGAGGTCAATAAAAAAGTAATTATTTTGCGATGCGAATCAGCTCGCGCGAAAACAAATTACAAGAAAAATTATTATCTTTTTTTCTCCCTTCTGCTTGGCAAATAAATTTATTTAATAAAAAATACAAACAGCTACATACATGCATGCATGCATCTGTTGAAAGACATACTACGCATCTATGTATGCATGCATGCAAAAATGTGCATTTTTTATTATTAATATGTGTATAAGTAGGCGTTTGTGTGTTGAGTGTGTATGGTGTGTGTGTGTGCCTAGAAGTATTGTGTGTGTGTGTGTGTGTTTGTGTTTGTCTAGAAGTATGTTTCTAGGGAATATACATAAGTTTATGTACGCGTAGTATATATATATATATATATATACACACACACACACATATATATATATAGATATAGATATATAGACCATAATTTTTACAATATTCTATAAATTCTACCGAATGTTTGGCGTTAATATGTTTGTAGTTCGTTTTTTCGATTTTTCTCACTAAAGTTTTTTGGTGAACAAACACACACACACACACACACACACACATATATATATATGTGTGTATGTGTGTGTGCGTGTGTGTCTGTGTGATTGAAAATGTGTGTGAAACAAACAAGCGCGTAATCATTTTCGACGAGATGATTCGATGAAGTTGTCATGTGGAATGATTAGGAATTTATAACGAGGATGGTGACGAAGACGACGAAGATGATGATGGTGACGATGATGATGATGGTGACGATGATGAATGCAGTGGTCATTATCAGGAATAGTAAATATATTAAGTAACGAAGATGTGCTATGATGAGGATGATGATAATAACATGCTAGGGTTGCTTCAATGCAACTTTCTTGCACGACTGAAATTACGACTTCACATTAGGTTATTAATTAATTAATAACATTTTATGGCTGGTGTGTAATCGTGTGATCCTTATTCGACAATATTTTGCTATTCTAATGATTGGATGATTGGATTTTAGTTTTAATTTATTATTAAATTTAATGTCTCTTTTAATATTTGCTTTCAAAATAATGGATTCATTAATTAGCTTGATTGAATTCTGTTATTTATCACATTTTTCTTCATTTAAACGTAAACGTAATTTAAATTTTAGCCAGATTTTGATTTCATGTGTTTTTTAAGATTTCATTGATAATTCTCATTTTCAAGTAACATCAAATAACATTCCTTTGTTTAATTATTCAACTGAAGATGGCATAATTAAAATAATATTTTTGCAACTCTTCTGCAAAAATAAAATTCAAACTAAATGGAAAATAGGATTATTATTTCAAAAAATATTTTTGTAATGTTTCATGGCAAGCTAAAAATCAAAATAAAATCTATTAAAATAGAAAAATAAATTGCAGTGGTCAAAACAAAGCCCCTAAAACATTTAAAATTCAAAGAACTCGAAGCGGTCAAAAAATATTTCTTATGACAATAATTATTTGAATCACTAAATGTATAAACAAATATATGGTGAAAATGCTGACCTATCTGACAATGTTCCCCCTG